CAACCTTTATTGAGTAAAATCCTGGGAAGTTAAGGTGGTTGACCACAACATTCGCTGAGTGCCGATTGGTCTTTAAAACATAGGTCTGGCTCTCTATGCCCAATATGCCTAAAGGCGTGGGAAGGGTTCCTTTATTTTACTTCTTATCATTTTATCCTAGGAAGGGAGAAGCCAGTGGCTGAACAATTAAGAATGCCAAGCTCTTACTTAGAAGACCCAGTTTGAATCCTCACTAAGGTGTGGGTTCTGCAGCCCTATATAGAGGTTGGGGGGGGGGGGAGGTGGACACACTGCTCTCATCAAGCAAGCATGTCATAAAAGGAGACTAATGAGGGTTTCCTTCCAAGTCAGAGTGCATCTTTTGGGAGGTGAGGAGCAACGGTCCAAGAGTCCAAGGTGGAAGTGCAAGCAGAACTTTCCAACGCACTTTTCCACTGGGGAACGCAAGAAGAAGGAAGTAAGGTGATGATTGTTTTCTGTAAGAGGAAAAACTTTGTTACAGTCGCACTAGTCATGTGGCACTCATTCCCAAGCTTTAGAGACCCCCCTCCCCTCTCCCAAAAACCACTCTATAAATTGGTCAATACAGGAAGTAGCCATAGTCTCCCCCCCCCCCCCCCCACCACCCTATAAATCAGTCAATACAGGAAGTAGCCATAGACTCCCAAACACCACCCTATAAATCGGTCAATACAAGAAGTAGCCATAGACTACCCCCCCCCCCTCTCCCAAACAACACTCTATAAATCATTCAATACAGGAAGTAGCGTAGCCATAGTCTCCCCCCCCCCCCCCAAACACCACCCTATAAATCAGTCAATACAGGAAGTAGCCATAGACTCCCCCCTCCCTCCTCCCAAACACCACTCTATAAATAGATCAACACAGGAAGTAGCCATAGACTCCCCCCTCTCCCAAACACCACCCTATAAATTGGTCAGTACAGGAAGTAGCCATGGTCTTCCCCCGCCCCCTTTCCTTTTTTTTCTTAGGAAAGTTGTACTTATGCTCATTATCTTCCAAACATTTGTCACTCCTTATGTGTGAGATATTTATTGCTGTAACTAATTGTATTTTATTAAGTTGTTTTGAAGGGGTCAACAAATATAAAAACACCCTGAGAGAGAAAGAGTTAAAATAAAAACACCATGAGACATAAGTTGAAAAAACACATAGAGGTGTAAGTGTGAACTAATATCACAGCTGCGTGGGTCCAAGAGAGTTAAGACAAATATATTCTGTCAGTAGAGAGCAAAACAGAAACAAGTTTGGTGTGTCTTTTAGTATTGAGTGAGTTAATTTTCAGGTCAGAATGGCTTAACTGAGGTCAGAATGGCTTAACTGAGGTCAGAATGGCTTAACTGAGGTCAGAATGGCTTAACTGAGGTCGGATGGCTTAACTGAGGTCAGAATGGCTTAACTGAGGTCGGAATGGCTTAACTGAGGTCAGAATGGCTTAACTGAGGTCAGAATGGCTTAACTGAGGTCAGAATGGCTTAACTGGGGTCGGAATGGCTTAACTGAGGTCAGAATGGCTTAACTGAGGTCAGAATGGCTTAACTGGGGTCTGAATCTCTAAATTTTTTTTATAACCTATTCTTTTGGTTCAGAAATTTAAACTAACGTTAGAATGGCCTTACTGAGTTCAGAATCTTTCAACTAGGGCTATAATGGCTTTGCCTTGCGTTTATTTTGACTGTTGTTTTGAGAGAGCCAGCCATTCAGAAAGCAGTGGCAAACCACTGAACATAAAATTGTCTGGTAGAATCACAGGCAGCCAACAAATGCTGAGGCTGGTTCTGCAACATCCTGTAAATCACATGCAGCTGACTTATAATGGCCTAACGGAGTTAATTTTAGGTCCCACTGGCTGAGAGTTACGTCTCTCAGTCCCGGGTACTTTTTGTTTACATGCTTTACGTCCTAAACTGTGTATACTTCAGAGCTATAAACTCAGTCTAAATGAGTTGAAGAAGGAGTTGAAGTAAAAAATGGGATAAATTGAATTATTTAAATACACAAAAAAAAAAAAAAAAAAAAAACAGGATTGGAGAACTGGAGACATGTTTGTGATGTTTCAGGTAACAGTAGACAATCCTTACATTTATGATGTTTCAGGTAACAGTAGATAATTCTTACATTTATGATGTTTCAGGTAACAGAAGACAATCCTTACATTTATGATGTTTCAGGTAACAGTAGACAATTCTTACATTTATGATGTTTCAGGTAACAGTAGACAATCCTTACATTTATGATGTTTCAGGTAACAGTAAACAATCCTTACATTTATGATGTTTCAGGTAACAGTAGACAATTCTTACATTTATGATGTTTCAGGTAACAGTAGACAATCCTTACATTTATGATGTTTCAGTTAACAGTAGACAATCTTTATATTTCAGATATGAACTGGCACTTGCAGAAGTGGAAAGGGGGAAATTCATCCTTGCAGAGGATGACCTGCTGCAGAAGGAGAATCAGCTCGCTAACGATAAGGCTCAGATGGCAGCAGTCAGGTTTCACAAAGAAGAGTTAATGACAAGACAAGCATTGATCACTAAAAGGAATGACAAAAGGTTAATTTACCACATGTTCTGCTATTTAAGGAATGCATTACCTATCATGAGCCAGGTCAATAAAAAAGTATCCATCCTTTTTGCGTGAACTGCTGTTCATCCCGCAGACTAATGGGGTTAGAATCTGAATTCAATAAACTATACCATATTCACATTCAGTCCAAAGTTTTTAAATGCCACAGCAAAGTAGCTCTTCAACATGTGATGTTGCGTAAATGTTGTTGCTAATTTATAATTTCAAACTAAAAGAATTACCAACTTTTGTACAGAAGAGGTCATAAGATTGACCTCAGTGCAGTCGATTTGATATTGTGTGGCTGGATCTCTCTCCACAGAATAGCTAGCCGTCTGCAGAGATAGTCACACTGAGCACATGACTTCAGCACTGACCCCAGGGATCCTGGAATCATATGTGCTCAGGGACCAAACAACACCATCCCTAGCATGAACTAATGACCTTTAGAACATGAAATAAATGGCTTAACACGATCTTTGTGACCCCTGGTTGGGAAGGGGTGTAGCCAAGAGAGACAGATTCAGAAATTCTTAGGTCAGAGAAATGGCTGAAGCAACACCATGGCTTTGGTTACAAACAGAGACAGAGAATAAAGCAGTTCGATCTTCTAATGAGAATGGAACTTGAAAACTAACCGCGTATGCTTACCAATACACAAGAATAGATTTCAGAGCATAAGGAAGACTAGGTAGCAGAGGACAAGAAGATCAGCACGTTACAGGGACACACACTCAAGAGAAACCTGTCACTGGGAGATCAGCACGTTACAGGGACACAGACTCAAGAGTAACCTGTCATTGCGAGATCAGCACATTACAGGGACACAGACTCAAGAGTAACCTGTCACTGGGAGATCAGCACGTTACAGGGACACACACTCAAGAGTAACCTGTCACTGGGAGATCAGCACGTTACAGGGACACAGACTCAAGAGTAACCTGTCATTGCGAGATCAGCACATTACAGGGACACAGACTCAAGAGTAACCTGTCACTGGGAGATCAGCACGTTACAGGGACACACACTCAAGAGTAACCTGTCACTGGGAGATCAGCACGTTACAGGGACACACACTCAAGAGTAACCTGTCACTGGGAGATCAGCACGTTACAGGGACACACACTCAAGAGTAACCTGTCACTGGGAGATCAGCACGTTACAGGGACACACACTCAAGAGTAACCTGTCACTGGGAGATCAGCACGTTACAGGGACACAGACTCAAGAGTAACCTGTCACTGGGAGATCAGCACGTTACAGGGACACACACTCAAGAGTAACCTGTCACTGGGAGATCAGCACGTTACAGAGACACAGACTGAAGAGTAACCTGCCATTGGGAGATCAGCACATTACAGGGACACAGACTCAGAGTTACCTGTCACTGGGAGATCAGCACGTTACAGGGACACAGACTCAAGAGTAACCTGTCACTGGGAGATCAGCACGTTACAGGGACACAGACTCAGAGTTACCTGTCACTGGGAGATCAGCACGTTACAGGGACACAGACTGAAGAGTAACCTGCCACTGGGAGATCAGCACGTTACAGGGACACAGACTCAGAGTTACCTGTCACTGGGAGATCAGCATGTTACAGGGACACACACTCAAGAGTAACCTGTCACTGGGAGATCAGCACGTTACAGGGACACAGACTGAAGAGTAACCTGTCACTGGGAGATCAGCACGTTACAGGGACACACACTCAAGAGTAACCTGTCACTGGGAGATCAGCACGTTACAGGGACACAGACTCAAGAGTAACCTGTCACTGGGAGATCAGCACGTTACAGGGACACAGACTGAAGAGTAACCTGTCACTGGGAGATCAGCACGTTACAGGGACACACACTCAAGAGTAACCTGTCACTGGGAGATCAGCACGTTACAGGGACACAGACTCAAGAGTAACCTGTCATTGCGAGATCAGCACGTTACAGGGACACAGACTCAGAGTTACCTGTCACTGGGAGATCAGCATGTTACAGGGACACACACTCAAGAGTTACCTGTCACTGGGAGATCAGCACGTTACAGAGACACACACTCAAGAGTTACCTGTCACTGGGAGATCAGCACGTTACAGAGACACAGACTCAAGAGTTACCTGTCACTGGGAGATCAGCATGTTACAGGGACACAGACTCAGAGTTACCTGTCACTGGGAGATCAGCTGCAGCTTGCCACAACAACCTGTCTGAAGCAGCACTAGAAATAGTGGTTCACCAGTGCACAGACAAGTTATGTAATATTGTCAACAGACATAGGTGGCTGTCCATCAAATGTTTCATTTGTTCTTGGGGCAGTCTTCATTTAATTTGTTTTTTTTTTTTAAATTATTATTATTAATTACAACAATTACTTGAGCAAAACAAGGACATTGCATTCTTTATGATTTTCAGAAAATGGGAAGATGCTCTCAATGATGCCGAGAGACGACACATTCATGCTGTTGAAGAGGCAGAGAAAAGCCATGAAAGAGCAAATAAATACTTGAGCAAGACATTGGCCAAGTGAGTTCTCTCCCTGTGTGGTTACTTTAACCAGAACTCTCTTGTACTGAAAGTTATTTTTAATATATTATTTCTAAATTTATCTGTAAATTAATTTACTATAAAACAAAATATTTTACCTATGCCTGCTGGTCCAATAATAATGGGTTCAACCCCCCCCCCCCCTCTTCCCCCCAGTTAGTAACTTCAAAATAATTCACTTCATTACCCAGATCATTCCAACCAAAGATTGGTAATAGAAAAGTTATTAGATATAAAGATGGCTGGAGCTAGCTGGACCAAATCACCTCATGCAAGTGTATTGTTCTAGTGTCTGCAGACAAATCTTTATGTCCAATAAAATTAGGAATCAAAGATAAAGGGTTCTTTTACCGTTCCATTGTTGTTGTTTTTTGTTGGGTACATTAACTCTTTTAGTCGCAGGGGGTTTCGCATCAGAGGCCCAATGGGTAGTCAAGAGAGACGTAAAATTGGTACATATTGCCTTCACTGGGCTTCTATGCAGGAACCTATGAACCGTTCATATGGTGTGTTCCTTAGGACTGCAAGAGTTGATCAACATTCAGTGCATGTTGTGGTAACTGTTGTGCTGACCACTTTTCTTCCCAAGATGTCTGGGTTAAATTTAAGAACCCCTGCCCCTGTAGATAGATTGAAACATAAAACGACCAGGCTTCTGGCATGCCTGCTAGCCACTGGGCCAACTTGTACCAAGGCTGTCAGTTTTTAAACATTTCAGGTTAAAGAAACGCCAGCAAGAAGAACAGGACCGGTACAACTCTGAAATGATCAGAAAGATGGACATGCTGTTGAAACTGAAGAAGGATATTGCTAACAACAGGGTAGGTGATCAGGGGTGTGTGTGTCAGTGCCATATAAAATGTTCTCATGTGTACGTATGTGTTTGTGCATGCGCATGTGTCTGTCTGCAGGCATATTTAAGTGTTGGTAAGTGTGTGAATGCTAAAGCCTTCGTCAATAATATGCTGTGCCAATAACCATGCTGTCTTTAAGTTTACTGTCTATCATTATTATCAGTGTCAGATCAGATCTATGTTCTAGTTTTTGTGACTCTTTTTTTGCGGCTAAACTTTTCTGTGGAATGAGATAGCTGGGCTTACACAAACCTTTCATTGTTGCATCTTATGACATGCATGGTAGGTTTAAAGTTTCTATTCTTTGCTTCCTTCGTAGATGCAGGAAACATGTGGGAGTGTTTATTGTTTTCTAAGGTTTATTGATTGTAATTGCAGGAGAACCTTTGAGTCATCAAGGAGTGTTCATTCTATCCAAGGTTGACCTTGACCTTGTACAATTGCCGGAGAACCTTTGGGTCCTCAGGGGATGTTCATTGTTTCCAAAGTTTAATGTTTATACTTGCAGGAGAACCTTTGAGTTATTAGGGAGTGTTCATTGTTTACCAAGGTTTACTTTGTATAATTGCAGGAGAACCTTTGAGTCATCAGGGAGTGTTCATTGTTTACCTAGGTTTATCTTGTACAATTGCAGGAGAACCTTCGAGTCATCAGAGCGAGGAATGTTAGCATCGAAAGAAGTAAGATTCTCAAGGAGCAGGAGGAAATGAATAAAATTCTAGCTGAAGGAGGCAATCCAGAGGAGATGATGCTAATCAAGAAAAGGAAAAACGAGATGGAGAAGAAGAAACAGTGAGATGATTTTCCATCTTATCTTTTTTTTTTGTCTTATTAAAAGAATTATTGTAATGGTATACATGTAATCTACATTACATTCACATTAATGTTTTCTTCTATTAATTGTCAAGTTAGCTTCCGATAGTTGATCCTGTACGAGGTGTGTTGCACATGAGGGTAAAACAATTTGTCGTTGAGGTGAGTTGAGTTGAGTTTAAAACAGACTTCACAGCACTCAAGACATTTCATATGGGGTCTGTCCTTATCTTCAGCAGTCAGCGAAAAGTTCCAGTTCGATAGGTGCAGTTTGATTATATATCCTCAGGACTCCTAACTGCACCATTCTCTCTCCTGACCGTAATGACCTGTTTGAGCCTCCACATTATTTACTTGCTGCTGAGGGACCCTGACCACGTCTAGCTTGTCATATATCATTTCACCACCCATTTGGGTAGAGCCAACCAATCTGTTCACCTGTTTATTTCCCAGTACACCTGCATGCCTTGGAGACAATATCAAAAGGATGCTAACTGCATAGGACCTCTGAAGTGGTGCTTGCCACTCTACACTTAGCATTCCTGTCTACACATTTCTAGCATGCTTTGCGAGTCAGTTACAATCATAACATGTGTATAAAACTGGTTCTGAAGCAAGCAGAAAACGGTGGTGACTGCCTCCACCTCTATTCTCAAACTATATGTTGTAGTACCATATGCTGGACATTGTTGCACTAAATGTTATCCATTCGCTTTCACAGTGCATTCCCACACACTTCTTTTGTATAGTTATTATCATCACAGGTAATATCTGTTTTAAAGATCTGACTTATGTGTATGCAGACTGTTGTTTCTTTGCCTGTCAGGCAGATGCACTCCAGCTTCAAAGGAGGCAATCTTATCACCAGAAGTTGAACTAGTGCCGGGGCTGCAAGGTTTATCCGGCGGTCATGTTTTTAAATCTTCATCACTGACCTGTTCTTCCAGGCAGAACCAGCTGGACATGGACACCAGGAAAAGTCCTGGGAAATAAAGGTGGCCGGCATGGTGTTGACCACATCGTCCTTGAATGTTGAGTAGTCCGCAAATATTTCAGTCTAGCATCATATGCCTGAAGGGCTACTGGAAATGGCTGTTCACTTGACATGACATTGCCAGGTCAAGGTCATGGTTGCGAACATATCCCTTCTTCTCACTTTGGCCACCCTTATCAGATGTCTTATTTCTGATACCTAAAACTGGCTTCTGTGAACTGTTGTAATTCCAAGACTCACATCTTTAGGTCAGGACTGGCACATAGGTAGAGCGGATATATGGCCATTTATGACCTCTTGCCAATTTCTCTTTCACTGAGCCACCATCAGTTGATGGCCTGGAAAAGTCTCCCAGCTGCTGCTTTTTGTGTACAGAGAAAGTACTCATCAATAATTGCTAAGCGTTGGTGAGAATAAGGGTGTGTGCAGTTTAGTTGAAATCAGCAACACCTGTGCTGATAAATTTCTGTAATGCAGTAGTACAGTCCAGAATGTTTTCTTGCAGGCTTCTGAAGCCTTCCTATTTTCATTCAAGGTTAATAAATATGATACATGTCTTTTTGAATGTGAACATTTCAGGCAGTTTGAAGCTGAGCAGAAGTTGAAGAAGGCCATGGTTTTGGAGAAGATTCTCAGGGAAGAAGAGAACATAAAGAGAAAAATACAGCAGCAGCCATATTTGTTTGATGATCCTGAAAGGGAGAAGACTCTGGTAATATGTGTTGTCCGCAGCATCTTCTTCTTTCCCTTTATGGAATACCTTACTCTGTCAGGGAAGGAAGAGATCTGTGGAATAAACCCTTCTGATTGCTTCATATATAGTTCTTTTCAATGTCTCTGATATTTCTGTGGTTCTTCTTCTGTGTGGTTGACTTCTGGCCAAGTTCCGACTGTAAATGTATAATATTGCTATCTGTGGTGCTCTGTCTGATGCCAGTCTTTATCTACAGATAAAGTTGGGTATTGGTTCTGTGCCGACTCTCCTCCTGATATCCTTGTTCCTAGTCGATCTTTCCTTGTTACACCTAACATAGTATGTAAAAAAAAAAACTGCCCTTTTAATTGTAGTCGGTTAGTGAGATCTCTTCCTATTCTAGGAGCACTAAAAAAACCACTGTAGGTTTGCTGGACAAATCAGTGTGTTTTCAGACTTCATTCAATTACAGTGGCTATCATGTTATTTCTGTATCAGTGTCTCCCTACACGCTTATATTGGTTTCATCTAAACATTCTTTTATAACAGAGTCATTGGAGAACATCATGATTACTGGTCAGATCAACAGTAGAAGAGGCAGAGGTAAACCAAGATAATGATGCCTGATGGTCTGAAGCTATGACATGGTGGAATATCATCAGTGAAATTGTTTCAGGATATCAAGGACCGATATCCGTGGAGAGACATGAGCCCTATGCTGCCAGTCAGGGCACATGATGATAATAAAGATTCTGTCAAAAGTTTCCCTCAGATATTCATGTGTATAAGGGGACATCACCCTTGTTGCCAGGACTCAAGAGGAGAGTTACTGTAACTGAATGTCAGTGTTTATAAAGGCAACTAAGGAAGGTTGGCATATGACCGGTTAGGCAACTATGGAAGGTTGGCTTATGACTGGTTAGGCAACTATGGAAGGTTGGCATATGACTGGTTACTTTGTCTCATAGCCAACTTCATAAGTGAATCCAGCCCATATGACTGGTTACTTTGTCTCATAGCCAACTTCATAAGTGAATCCAGCCCATATGACTGGTTACTTTGTCTCATAGCCAACTTCATAAGTGAATCCAGCCCATATGACTGGTTACTTTGTCTCATAGCCAACTTCATATGTGAGTCCAGCCAATCTAAAACATATCTACAAAGGGCTCGACGTGAGTCGGCTGAGGACCGGTGTTTTATTGGGAGTTGCAAGACTGAAGGAGGAGAAGGGGGAGAAGAACAGAATGTAGGGAAATTCATCACCTATTATAACAGAAATTCAGATGAATTGTGAAGATAAATTCCATGTAAGGATTATCATAAGTTAATTAATGTCTAAATTAAACTAATTAAGTGTTTTATCACCAGCTAATGAGCAGAGAAACTAAAATAAACACAGAGGAGATGACAAAGTTCAAGAGGGAGAATCTATTAATGAAATTTTCACTTTTTTTTTTGCAGCGAGTTGGTCCTGCAAAGAAGAAACTACCAATGGCACTGCTGGAATGCCTTGCAATTGATGTCTGTGAACCAGCAGACGTGGACAAAATTGATGATGAAAAACGCAAGGAGATTCAGGTAAAGTAACAACAATGATGCAACAAACAAATGGTCTGAAAAAAATCATAACATTATTCAATTTTATTTTCTGTTATTGTTTCTGTACATTTGTCACATTATATCATGAAACATAAAATGATGTGATTGCATCATTTATTCTTCTTGTCATGTACGATCATTTATTCTTCTTGTCATGTACGATCATTTATTCTTCTTGTCATGTACGATCATTTATTCTTCTTGTCATGTACGATCATTTATTCTTCTTGTCATGTACGATCATTTATTCTTCTTGTCATGTACGATCATTTATTCTTCTTGTCATGTACGATCATTTATTCTTCTTGTCATGTACGATCATTTATTCTTCTTGTCATGTACGATCATTTATTCTTCTGGTCATGTACGATCATTTATTCTTCTTGTCATGTACGATCATTTATTCTTCTGGTCATGTACGATCATTTATTCTTCTTGTCATGTACGATCATTTATTCTTCTGGTCATGTACGATCATTTATTCTTCTTGTCATGTACGATCATTTATTCTTCTGGTCATGTACGATCATTTATTCTTCTGGTCATGTACGATCATTTATTCTTCTGGTCATGTACGATCATTTATTCTTCTGGTCATGTACGATCATTTATTCTTCTTGTCATGTACGATCATTTATTCTTCTTGTCATGTACGATCATTTATTCTTCTGGTCATGTACGATCATTTATTCTTCTGGTCATGTACGGTAAAGCTGCCTTAAGAGTCTGCTCATTAATTATGTCCGTTTGTTTAAAGCTTGACGATGCAGTCTACAGCTTATGTCCCTCTACTGTCTTCTGTTCTCATAAACTTTTGTCTGCTCATTAATTATGTCCGTTTGTTTAAAGCTTGGCGATGCAGTCTACAGCTTATGTCCCTCTACTGTCTTCTGTTCTCATAAACTTTTGTCTGCTCATTAATTATGTCCGTTTGTTTAAAGCTTGGCGATGCAGTCTACAGCTTATGTCCCTCTACTGTCTTCTGTTCTCATAAACTTTTGTCTGCTCATTAATTATGTCCGTTTGTTTAAAGCTTGGCGATGCAGTCTACAGCTTATGTCCCTTTACTGTCTTCTGTTCTCATAAACTTTTGTCTGCTCATTAATTATGTCCGTTTGTTTGAAGCTTGGCGATGCAGTCTACAGCTCATGTCCCCTTTACTGTCTTCTGTTCTCATAAACTTATGTCTGCTCATTAATTATGTCCGTTTGTTTAAAGCTTGGCGATGCAGTCTACAGCTTATGTCCCTCTACTGTCTTCTGTTCTCATAAACTTTTGTCTGCTCATTAATTATGTCCGTTTGTTTAAAGCTTGGCGATGCAGTCTACAGCTTATGTCCCTCTACTGTCTTCTGTTCTCATAAACTTTTGTCTGCTCATTAATTATGTCCGTTTGTTTAAAGCTTGGCGATGCAGTCTACAGCTTATGTCCCTCTACTGTCTTCTGTTCTCATAAACTTTTGTCTGCTCATTAATTATGTCCGTTTGTTTAAAGCTTGGCGATGCAGTCTACAGCTTATGTCCCTCTACTGTCTTCTGTTCTCATAAACTTTTGTCTGCTCATTAATTATGTCCGTTTGTTTAAAGCTTGGCGATGCAGTCTACAGCTTATGTCCCTCTACTGTCTTCTGTTCTCATAAACTTTTGTCTGCTCATTAATTATGTCCTTTTGTTTGAAGCTTGGCGATGCAGTCTCCTGCTCATGTCCCTCTACTGTCTTCTGTTCTCATAAACTTTTGTCTGCTCATTAATTATGTCCGTTTGTTTGAAGCTTGGCGATGCAGTCTCCTGCTCATGTCCCTCTACTGTCTTCTGTTCTCATAAACTTTTGTCTGCTCATTAATTATGTCCGTTTGTTTGAAGCTTGGCGATGCAGTCTCCTGCTCATGTCCCTCTACTGTCTTCTGTTCTCATAAACTTTTGTCTGCTCATTAATTATGTCCGTTTGTTTGAAGCTTGACGATGCAGTCTACAGCTCATGTCCCACTGCTATCTTCTGTTCTCATAAACTTTTGTCTGCTCATTAATTATGTCCTTTTGTTTGAAGCTTGGCGATGCAGTCTCCTGCTCATGTCCCTCTACTGTCTTCTGTTCTCATAAACTTTTGTCTGCTCATTAATTATGTCCGTTTGTTTGAAGCTTGGCGATGCAGTCTCCTGCTCATGTCCCTCTACTGTCTTCTGTTCTCATAAACTTTTGTCTGCTCATTAATTATGTCCTTTTGTTTGAAGCTTGGCGATGCAGTCTCCTGCTCATGTCCCTCTACTGTCTTCTGTTCTCATAAACTTTTGTCTGCTCATTAATTATGTCCGTTTGTTTGAAGCTTGGCGATGCAGTCTCCTGCTCATGTCCCTCTACTGTCTTCTGTTCTCATAAACTTTTGTCTGCTCAGCGTAAGTCAGTGCCCCAGTGTCTTTGCAAAGTAAAGCAAAGTAAAGCAAAGTAAAGGATCTTTTCCACACATTGAGGCTATTGGGCAAATAGGGCTAGACCTATATTTGTATACACCAATCGGCACTCACTGGGTCATAAGCTCAGCTTCATGCTGGCCACCTTTACTTCCCAGGAATGTTTTCTTTTACCCATATAAGGCTGAGTCGACCTGGGAGTCGAGGTCATTTTTGAAAAACGTCTGGTTCTATAAAGACCTGAATCCGAGACCGTTGGATCTGCAGGCTAGTGTCTAACCACTACACCATGCCTATATCTTTACAAGCTCATGTGAAATCATATTTTTAAAATGTCCTCTATCTCTTTTGCTCTGAAGCTTGCCCTATGGGTTTTTTCCACCAGTAGAAGGCGTCTGTATATCATGTTGCAATCACTCGAAGACAGCCTTCATGCATGTGTGATGTCCAAATAGCTGACTCTTAGAAGGCAGGAGAAGTAACTCTTATTATTGTGGCTGTTTCAACAAGCAGTATCATCCTCAAATATGTTGCGAGCTGGTTGTTCACTTGACTGGTCTCTCACAACCAAATATTTCACCTCAATTTACCAGAAAGAAAAAGTTTTAGTTCTTGCTGTGTTGTTTAGGAAGATGATATAGCATCAGCCGACTTATTTTTTTCTGGGTTGTATCATCGTCATCATCATCATGTGCCTTGCCGACTGGCGTGAGCGATCATGCCTCTTCACAATCTGCGATCTCCTGCTGCATGTATCTGTTTATTTGCTGACACATCTCCATGCCATGCAACAAGACTGTCAAAAATCTTCTCTTGTTGTCTTCCTCTATCCCTCCTTCCACAGATCTTTCCGTGGTCACAACATGTTTCATTTTCCTTCTTCTCATAACGGGGCTGAAAAATGATGACTGTCTCCTTCTGATGTCTATGATAAGTTGTCTTCAGGCTTCTGCCTCTTTCAAAACCTCTTGGTTGCTCTTTTTGGCTGTCCAAGGTATTCTAAGCATTTCTTTTGTAAAACCACATCTCTGAGGCCTCAAGAAATTGTTTGGCCTGCCTACCGATTGTCCAGGACTCACAGCCATATGTTAAAACTGGATGTATTCTTTTTTTTAAACTCTCAGTGACAAGGATATATTGCATAAGATATTCTTCATTTTATAAAATGCAGTTTTTGCCTGTCATATTCTGTTTCATATTTCAGTAATGCATCTTCCATCTGATGTTATTTATGTTGTGTAGGAAGATGATATAGCATCATCCGACTCGTTTTTTGCTAGTGAGAATTATCGAAGGATACTAAATAAATTATCACTTGAAATGGTAAGGTGCTTGATGATTTGCCGGTTAGTTCTAAGTCTAAATTCATGTTAGAATCTTTTTGTATCTTGTTTAATTTTTGAGGTTTTTATTTTTTTAATGGTTTATATTAATGCCTGATTTGATTGCTCGTTGAAATTATTGACTAAAACAACCACTGGCATTAAATGGGCGTGGTGTGAACATTTCACTGTAGAAATGCCAGTTAGCCACACTCTCTGAGACCTGGAACCTACTGGAAGTTTTCTGGGGCAAAGGGGTTCAGGAAGCAAAGTGATCTTTGTTCCCATGTCCGTGTGCTACAATAAGCATCTGTTGGCAAGTAAAGGACCCTTTCTTACGTCATGTAACATATTATTTTTGTGGTGGTAGCCCCTTATTTCTACATAATCGGCACTTATTGAGAGATATGGCCAGTGTCCCTGAACAACAGTGCTTCAAGCTACATTTCAGTCTTGCTAAGGATTTATATGCAGTTAATGCAGACATAAAATACTGTCTGTGATAATTGCCAGACTCAGACATGGAATACTGTCCGTGGTAATTGCCAGACTTAGATGCTATAAGAGCTCCCATAAGAACTTAGCTATAAATTCTGGGTGCAGTTAAGGGTCAGCGGCTGATTAGAGGGAGGTCATGGATGGCTAAGGCAGAAGACACAATCAGACAGGTTTGCATCCTTGAGAACATTAGGCCTCGCTGCGGAGGACACGAGTGAGGAGTAGTGTATGGATTTTTTCACCCGGGCACGCCGGTGTGTTGGGAAATGAACAGGTGGACAGACTGGCTGGCTCTGCACAACTTGGTGGAATACTGATGCATGATAAGGCAGACGTGGTTAGTGCCTTGTGGGAGAGCGTGTAAAGTTTGGAGGAGCAGATGGATCACCACAGTCTGATGAGATTGATGCGGTTGGGGGTGACGAGAGGTTCTGGCAGAAGCTCAAGGCTCAGAGGAAAGGCAAGATGGACATTTAATCAGAATGCTACTGGCACCATTAGTATCGGAACTCTTCACTGGCTGCTGAAGATGGGGACAGAGCACTTATGGGAATGCCCCGAGTGCTGTGATGTGGATTCTTGAATCAAATCAGATGCTATTTGTGCCCCTGACAACAACAAAAACCACTACCTTAGTGAGGATTCTAACCCAGATCTCTAACACATGAGGCCAATGTGTTTTTATTTATTCGGCCAGCCGCTCCTCTTCTTTATGTTCTTGATCTCTGATGGAATGTTCTGGTTGTTCGTCAACTTTTGAACTTTGACCTTGATCCAGAAATTAAGTGTTGCACTGACATCAAGTTTATGATCTGATGTAATGTTTTTTTGTGTGTCTGTGGAAAAGGGGGGGGGGGTCGGGGGGAAGAGGGGCAGATTGATGGTTCCTGGCCACTCAGACAGGTGCACTTAGACATTGAAGGGAATATCCCTCATTGATCGCCTGTTATGACATGCTTGTTAAGGGGGCAGCAGATCGATGTTTGTGGCCCCGGAGCTCACACAGCAAATTATGTTTGTTTAATATAGATGGGTGTTACATTTTACTTAAAGCATATGTTAATTACTTTAAGTTTTACTGTTATTTTACATTAAAGTGTATGTTAATTGTCGGCATCTGTGGCTTGGGGGTTGCAGATGCGCTTCGTAATGCCGGAATGCTGGGTTTGATCCTAGCTGCAGGGCTTACGCCTTGGGAGGGTTTCGACAGTGATATGGAGAAGCCGACTGTCCAGAAAGCTATGGCAAACTACTGGACAAAAACTTGCCTAGAAAAACCACAACAGCCGAAAAATGCTGGGGTTAATGTTAAAAACATAATTTTTACTATAATTCACAAACCCTTTCTGTATTTTATGTGTTTATTATAAATGAAGTGTTAAATCCTCCCAGATGGTGACCAATACATGGGTTAAATTTTCATTTGCTGTATTTGCTGTAATGTCTACATTGTTTAATTTAATAGTTATATTGATGGCCTAGGTTATTATGCATTTCTTTATTTATTTCTACAAAAAAAAAAAAGTAAACTTTTACTGGAGTTATATCTCTTGAAATTTTTTTTCCTATTACTTCCCAAAAAATGTAATTTAAAAAAATAATATCTCACTGTGGTCGGCTCTATGGCTAAGTCGATGCAAATGCTTCGTAATTCTGGGGTGCCAGGTTTGATCCCAGCTGCGGGCCATGCACTTTGCGTTGGTTTTGACAGTGGTATCAGGGGGCCGACCATCCAGAAAGGAACGGCAAACTACTGGATATAAATTTGCCTAGAGAAACCACACAACAGCCAGGGGCTGCTGGGTTGGCTCTGCAACGTCCTGTAAAGGACACGCAACTAACTATATCTCACTGATATCTTCCTTGAAACCATACATTTATGTGTGTGTGAGACAGTACATTTGTCTGTCTCCCAAATTGTTAAATACTGGTGTTAGTATTACAGGGAATGCCTCTGGTTCACTCAGAGGCAATAACTAAAGATACAGCAGCGGTGGAGACAAAGATAAAGTAAAAGACGGGATAATGAATATAGGGTTTTAGTTAGACCCCTAATTCCACTAGGCCTACATAATGGGCAGCGGTGAAGACCAAGATGAGGTGGAGGATGGGAGAATAGGACTTTCTTTCACTATCCTGGGCAAAGCCTGGCAGTTAAATCTAGTAAGATTATAAATTTTAAGTTTATTTTGTTATAAGTCTTGTTTCCAAATGCTGTTGGCTGATTTCATTTGACTTTTTTGATATGAAATGTGAGAGTATATTTTATATGTGAATTGTATATATTGAGCATGTTGTAGCTATTGTCAGTTGATTTTTATAATGTTTGTTGGTTTTACAAGTTGCTTGTCTGTAAACTGGATGTTTTGTTTTCATTTTAAGACATGATCTTGCAGTTAAAGTGACAATGGTTTTGTTTAGCTCCTTCAGCATCAGACTTCATCTTCAATCGATCACTGTGTCCCATGCAAACTGATACATGAAGGTTTGCCATCCTGAGGTAAAAACATCTCACCCAGATTGAAGACCAACAGGGCAGATCCCAGATGCCCTCCCTATTCAACAGTTGAATTAATGAATCAAGCCTTAACATCACTGCACTCTGGACATTCCCACAGGTGCTCCGTCTCCGTCCCATTCTTCAGTTGCCAATGAAGAGTTGAAATGCTAATAGTACCAGCTACAACCAGATTAAATGTCTATGTTTCCCTTTTAGTATTGAATATCTTCCAGAACCTTCCCCCCTCCCCCAATTTCTGTCAGTGAATGGATTCTCTGCCTGTTCTATTGCACTGCTCATTTGATCCCAGAAGGCCTTCACCACATCTGTTTTATCATAAAGTAGCTCACCACCCAGAGGAGCAGTAGTAGCCAGTCTATCAACATGCTCTTTATCTTGCACACCTGAATGTCCTGGACAGAAAACCCATGGTTGCTCCTGATCTGAGTCTTGTCAAGTGATGCAAGCCACTCTATATGTTAAACGGTATATTTAGGATATTGAGAGTTCTGTTCTTATATTGGATAAGTCTGCTAATACTTTGGGCTGTTTAATATTGCATAGATTATATGTTGATTGTAGCCAATTATGAGTTTTAAGAGTAATATTTTTAAGCACACTTTTCTTAAAATTATAATAATCAGATTGTGTTATGTATCTTTGGGAATATTTAATCTGAATTGTCGATATTTTGCTGTGCAATTTTAATACCATATATTTTCATGTGACATATTGTTTGTTCTGTACCCTTAGTTCTGTAAAGCTGTCTATCTCTGCCATGTCTGGAGATCAATTTTGATAATATGTAATAATCAGAAATGTTTGTAGCTCCAGAAATGAGTTTATTGTCAATGAAATTTGCAGAAACAGCAGTTTGGTACCTCTCTGGAGATTCCAGCAACAACTGAACATATCAAGACCATAGCTGCAGCAAACAAGAGCAAAAACAAAGCAGACACCGAAGAGGAACCTCTGGTCACGGCGGTGTCAGCAGTAAAAGCTTTCGTACAAGTTGATGATGATGATGATGACACTTTCCCCTCAGAGGAGGAGGTCATGTTTCCATTCTTCTGTGTTGGAGTTTCAAACAAACTGAATTGTTTTTGGGTTTTTTTCTTCTTCGATTATTTGTTTCTGAATTTTCTAGTTGAGAGTTTTCAACTTTTCGATTGGTTCTACGATTGTGGATTAGGATAAAGTTAGTTTTTATTACATATAGATATCTCTATAAGTTTTCTACCCAGAGTAGTTGTTTACTTTAAATGAGCATGTATCTCTGCATGTTCAATGCCAAAAATAATTGTTACTAGGAAAAAACATCTGCCCATAAGCTCTGTACAAGCAGTTGTTATATAGAGTGAATGTTTGATGACTGTAGATTTGTTTAAATCGGTTATTTGTGATGGCAGATATTTAAATGTGGTTGTTCAACAATTAATGATGTAATTTTTGATACTCAAGTGCCTCATCCTTATACTGTTAGCACTTTAGCCTGAGGAATCGATTGTGAATAGAGCTGTAATATGGAAAACAATTACCAAAAATAAGATGTACTATAGAAGCATATGTTGCATTAACTCCACAGACTGTGATTACAAAATAGGAACGACAATATTTTCAAACAATATGGTCACTAAAAATACACCCTGTATCAGACTAACATACACTTTGACGTATCAACTAGATGTTCACCTGCCGACCCTAAGGTCGTGGGTACAAATCTGCATCAAAGCGGATTTTTTCAGAATAAATTATCTTAGCTCGTAGGTCAACCCAGCCTTAAATGGGCATCTTGTAAAGTCCTGGGAGGTAAAGTTTACTGGCTTAATACTCATCACATCACCCACGGAGTGCCGATTAGTCTATAAAACATAGGTCTAGCACTTTCGACCCAAAACCCCAATGGTTGCAGAGAAATGTCCTGTACTCTACTTAAGAGACATCTCAATAAGTGTTCCAGCCTTCTTCCTGAGACCACACAGTGAGAATCTTGGTGCAGTTCATGAATTATAGGTCACCACAAGGATCCATGGTGGCACAGTAACTAGTACACCTACCTGCCAGCCAGATGGTCAGAGTTTAGAACCACCATCATGATAGATTTTTAAACTTGACATTGTCTCCCAAATGAGCCCAGTCTAAAGTGGGTCTGACTCTCATGTGAACCCAGACTAAAGCGGGTCTGACTCCCATGTGAACCCAGACTAAAGTGGGTCTGACTCCCATGTGAACCCAGACTAAAGCTGGTCTCAAAAATTGTCCTAGGGAGCGTGATATTGCCAGTATCACTCAACAAATGCTGATTGGTTATACAGACATGAGTCTGGCAGATATATGTATATCATGTGCTTGGAAAGTCATGGGCTCTGGGGCCTGGTGGTACCAGACTTGTTTCAAAAACAACCTTGGCTCCCAGGTCAACCCGGCCTTGAGTGGGAACCAGGTGCAGACCTGGGAAGTAAAGATGGCCAGAACGATGCTGACCATGTCAGTCACCAAGCAACCAGTTGGTCTATCAAATATAGGTCTAGCCTTATATGCCCGAAAGCCTAAAGGCTATTTACCTACCAAATATCGAATTGCTTCATGGCATGCATATGTTTTTTTTTTCTTTTTTTTTAATGTCATATAAAATAGGATGTGGTGCAAAAGTACATCAGGTGCAAGGAGAGTTAGCAGCACTTGTTATTTCATAGATACTTATTTCTGTTGAACCTCTTGAAGGAACTATTCTTGGTCTGTGTTAGGTAACCAGTGTAATGAAGCTGAACCCTTACAACAGCTTACAAAATGTAGATGAAAGAGCACACAACTCTTGTGTGTCACCACTATTCCCCCTTGACTTCCCCCTTTTTTCCTGTTGTTTCCCAACACTTCGTTGAGGTGAACTGAATGACAAAATAAGAAAGGGAAGTAAAAACTTCTGTCTTCTTTTTGTTTTGTTTTTTTGCAATGCATATTGTCGAAATCAAGAGAGCAGCATGTTTTCAGTTTCATTCTGACTATTTTTAGACTGCCACAGAAGAGTTTCAAGAGGAAGAAACCGAGGAGGAGGAAGACACTGCTTATCTTCAGACAGCCAAGTTTTCTTTTTCAAGAGGAGAGAATAAAGAAGACTTTTTAGAAGCTGAAGAAGATGGTAAAACTGAATGTTTTCTTTTGATTATTTTTGATTTGCTGCCTTATTCCATATTTTAAACATTTTGGCTTTTTTTCAAACTGGTTTTACATCTGATGTTCTCAGACTGTAAAACATTTTTTGTGTGTACCATTTTAGAATGCATAAATTTATTAATTTTTAAAAATATTTTTTTTAAACTGTCTTCTTGCCAGTTAGGCTTGTGAAGTGAGCAACAAAAAGTAATGCTCTAGCCTACCTGGCAGTAATCAATACAAAATTTTTAAAATGTGCCGCCTTCACAGTAGAGGTTGGCTGAAATGCATCATCTGCCTGCAGACTAGAGGAGTATTGTGTGGAGAGGCCTCAGGCTCTTCCACAGTGCCAATTTCCTACCAATGTTTAAAAACCATAAGTATGATCCTTTTCTCAACCTTCGCCACGGGGATCAGAACCTGGTGAACATGGAGTTATAAGAGGTGACCAAAGACCTCTGATGTGCACCATGAAGGTGTTTGGAAATACACTGTGAGCTGCCTATTTCATTTGGAATGTTTTTCGACTGTGACCAACCTGGTAGTGTGAATTGTAGATTCAGAAAATGGTGCAATGCCGGTTGTCGCAATATTGGTGGTGCTATTATGTGATTAAAATTGCTCGTGTATGCAACTGCTGATCTGTTGGGGACTTCTGCTACCATCGATGATGAACTGCATTTCTAATGTGGGACTGTTTGTGCTAGCACTTTGGATGGCTACCGTAAGCTTTTAATGCTTGTGTATGCTAGTGCATATGCTGAGACAGCAGTCTGTCAATCTTTACACAAGGGACTGTGATAAACATTCTGTGTGTTTTTGTTGGCACAGCAACTATGGGGTGACCCATTTGCTATGAAGCTGAAACTAAGACTACCAAGATTACCAAGATCTGGAGCTGTTCACCACTCCTCATGAAGGTATCGGAAGATGTTCACCACTCACCATGAAGGTATAGGGAGATGTTCACCACTCATCATGAAGGTATAGGGAGATGTTCACCACTCATCATGAAGGTATAGGGAGATGTTCACCACTCATCATGAAGGTATAGGGAGATGTTCACCACTCATCATGAAGGTATAGGGAGATGTTCACCACTCATCATGAAGGTATAGGGAGATGTTCACCACTCATCATGAAGGTATAGGGAGATGTTCACCACTCATCATGAAGGTATAGGGAGATGTTCACCACTCATCATGAAGGTATAGGGAGATGTTCACCACTCACCATGAAGGTATCGGAAGATGTTCACCACTCATCATGAAGGTATAGGGAGATGTTCACCACTCATCATGAAGGTATAGGGAGATGTTCACCACTCACCATGAAGGTATAGGGAGATGTTCACCACTCACCATAAAGGTATCGGAAGATGTTCACCACTCATCATGAAGGTATAGGGAGATGTTCACCACTCATCGTGAAGGTATCAGGAGATGTTCACCACTCATCATGAAGGTATTGGGAGATGTTCACCACTCACCATGAAGTTATTGGGAGATGTTCACCACTCATCATGAAGGCATCAGGAGATGTTCACCACTTATCATGAAGGTATCAGGAGATGTTCACCACCCATCATGAAGTAACAATAAAAGAGGATAATGGCCTTTTGAGGCAGGTACAGGTAATCAGGTATTTGCAGTTCTGACTTCACAGTGAGTGGGTCACCCTCTAGTTGCTTTGCTTCTGTGACCAAAAAAACCATACACAAAGCACAGAACTGTCCTTTATGGAAACAATTAAAACAGACTAGTCTTGACAAAACTAATAGCTTACACATGATTTAATGCTCAAGGCAACCATTGTAGTGCCACCACACAGTCCGGCACTCAAACTGCAGTTTCATTATCTGCGTAAGCAGATAGTTAGTTGCACATGCAGTAATCGCATAAGGCACCACCAGTTCTGCAGCAACAGGCCAATTGCCAATTTCTGAATCTGCAGTTCACAACAAAAACTATGGTCAGCATAGTCAAAAAGCATTTCAAATGAAATCTGTAGCTGACAGTATCACACCATGCACTTGGCTCAGTTGCTGGGTGACAGAACTATATACTTCAAGTCCAAATATGGGGAAAATGCACAGACTAACCTTAGTCTGAAAAATTTAACTTCCATGACTAAAAAAGAGGACCTGTTAATGAAACAGGTGTGAATGTAGCCACTAAAGAAGCCATATTTGTACAGCCATTCATATCTTAATACAAGAAGTAAGACAGTGATGATGTGCATAGGACCTGCTACATAATGATGATTTTAAAAATATGTGTGAAAATAGCCACTATATAATTTAGATTTATTGACCCTCTGTAGTTGAAAAGTCAGCTTATTTTACATTATGGCTGAGATCATGAGGAATTATACTTTGCTTTGCTTGTGAAAGAGAGAATTAAGCCTTTTGAGTCAGTAATTGACTTTACTGCAAATTATGCATTAAATCTAACATTTTCTAAACCCATAGTCATTTTGTCCAATCAGAAGACACACAGATGGATCTTGCCAAGCCTGAGTTTGAGGGATTGTGGGACAAGCAGACAAAAGCATACAAATCAGCTAAACTTGCTGATGACCTTTCAGCAAAACCTGTAAATGGGAGCAAGATGGAAAAGGTAGAAATATTTGTTTGTCTTTTTTTGCTTTGTCTTTGTGAATGTGGCTAACAACTTGCTTTTGTGCAGTCATAAAAACTCCTGCAAACTAGCTGACAGTAGTCAGATCTAACAGGCTCCATGACTTGTCTTTGTATGCCTAAATACTCATTCACTTGACTTATTCCCTCTTTTATGGTTTTCTCAAACCTTTCAGTTTTTTCTTCCCTTGGTAAGGTCAAAATAAGTAACAACAATTGTCTAGAAATGTTTAATAAAAGGCATGTATAAACTTTGGTTATATCATAAGAAAATATGCAGTGATGAGCATTACAACTGGTGCAGTACATGTTTTGTGTTCATTGTTTTCCTCATGATTGCAGTCTGAAAGATTGACACCCCATAAATCAAAGAGTGCCGCTGGATGCAAATCCAATAGGTAAAATCCCAGAAACCTTGCTCACCTGTTTAAGACAGTTACAAGTGGGTTACAAGTGGGTTACAAGTGGGTTACAAGTGGGTTACAAGTCTGTTACAAGTGGGTTACAAATGGGTTACAAGTGGGTTACAAGTGACCTGCTCTCCAGTGTGGGTGAATTTATGATTTCTGGAAAATGTTGTTGCTGAAAATAGCAGAAGTAGGCCATTAGGTATGATGCTGGGCAGTTTAAGATGGTGGCACTGAGAAATATTATCACAAAAAAAACTAAGAATGTGAAGTGACATGAGAGCGTGCATTATCTGGCAAAGTACATGATGATGACTGAGAGCATGGGCATGCTGACTGTATATGGTTGATCCTGATGTCCATGTCCATGAAATATTTAATATAAATTGTTTTCTGCAGGAGATTCTGAAAAAAACTCTGGAGAAGACAAGGGAGGCAATTGTGAAACCTCAAATAGCAGCCGGGAAGGAATTCTCTGGGCGGCCATTTTACAGCAAACCTAATGTCATTCACTTCAAGGTATTTGACTCAACCTTTATGGAGTTAAGAGTACCTAGCTTTTGTTGTTATTTTTGTGGATGTCAGTGTTGCAACATTTGGGTTGATAGTTGTAAAGATGTAACATATTTGTTGATTTCTTACTCATGTAACATTTATGTCTGTACCAGTGATGTCTATGTTGTAAAATAATGTTTATGATGTTGTAACACATATAGTTCTATACTGACATTCATGAAAACTTGACATGTAACAATGAGAGTTAAAGGCTAATAACCATGTGGTTGTAACATTTGTAATGGTAGGTTCTTGTCCATTATTTTAACATTTATAATTGTAAATATATGCCCATGTTGTTGTAACATCTATAATTAATTACCTGTCTTCTTCTTCTTCTTCTTCTTCGATCCTTCTGTCAGAAAACTTATATTAGGAGTCCGGTAGCCTTTATGAAATCTATTGTGCAGTCCATATCCTCTCGTTTACCATACAGTTTTGTCTTCATTGTGGTTTGAACAGGCCAGATTGCGTCTCTGTTTTCAGCATACAGCTGACAGTGTTGGAACAATTACCTGTTAAACTAATTTGTTGTGTTATTGATACATTTCCAGTCATGTAATGATGTGCACATTAATGTAATTTTTATAGTTGTCAAGTGTGTGTCCATGTTGCTACATTTGTGACTGTATGTTGTTGTCTCTTCCAATGAAAAACATGCGAGATCTACTCAAGTCTTGCACTCATGCTCTTCTAAAATCTATTGTAGAAACTGCATAAAAGTGACGGAATTGTATGTGCTCGTTATTTTCACATGTTTTGTAAACTTCTAAAGATTTACCCCTAGCTAACATTAATCATGAATTCTGTGTTTGCCAGGATTTTGTTGTCGGCAAGTTTTACAAGAAGAAAGCCATACTGACAAATGTCTCATACAGTGTCAACTACATCCGGTTTCTAGAAGTCTCTGACAGTCTCAAGGATTTCATCAAAATTAGGTTAGTGTTTGATTGTGTCCAGTGTGGCATCCACGGTTTTTATTTAATGTATCCTGGGACAGATTTCTGTTTGTTTCCATAGGGGTTCCAAGGTCTTGTGTTTGTTGGAAGAGATTTTTGGCTGAAGCATAAAGGCTACTTGCCCAGCGGTTACCATATAGTGTAATGGTTTGGATTTTTTAACATATTGTCATCTTGCAGAGAACAGATCCTATATCCCACAATGTGTGAGGGGAACATTCTGTCAAGTTAGATGGGCAGTTTAAGTCATGGATTGATTTATTTACACTTTCCTGCGAACTGAAAGGTTGTGGGTTCGGGACCTGATGGAGCCTGACCTTTTTAAAAAATGACCTTGGCTCCCAGGTTGTCGCAATCTTAAATGTTTAGCAGATAAAGTTCTGGGAAGTAAAGGCGGCTGACATAATTCTGACCACATCACCAACCAAGTGCCGTTTGGTCTATAACATATAGGTTTGGCTCTGTATGGCCAAATAGGCCGGAAGACATGGACAAGGGTTGGTTACTTTACAAAAAATATATTAATTGCTTATTGTAGTTATTTTTATTAAAGTAGAAAAGCAAAGTGGTAGTCACCGTAGCCATTGTATGTATCTTTGAAGACAGTGGCACTCAATTATCTTCTTGTGGAATAAAATAGGATAATTGGGATCTGTTCTGAGGGACTGACATCCAGCATGTGACCCTTTAAGTTGTGGGGTGGCCGCTTGGAGGGGAAAACACAGTCAGCCACTCAATTAAATATCAGATAAACTAACATATTCTTCTACAGCTGCCCTTTATATCCCAGCGGATCATAAGCCCTTAACCAACTCACACCATGTTGTCCCATCTCTTGCTATTGCACGCAGCTTAAGCCAATTCCTTTGTATCTTTTTAAATGCACTGTTTAGTTCCTTCTTCATGTGCTAATAAATTTAAAGTTATGCTGTTCCATCATTAAAATGTGTTGATTAGATTTTTAGCCATTTTATATTTGTATGTGTTGCTAATAAATTAAAAGTTAAGTTGTGACTCTTGATACGTTTTTTGTGAGTTGCCACATTTCTTTTGCTCATTTTTTTTTTACAATTAATTGTACAGTTTTGAACCGCCTGGGCAAATGTCAGCTGGCATGTCATGTGAAATAACAGTAAACTTCAAGCCATTGGTAAGCCTTTACTGAATTATTAGTTATTCCTCTTTTACTTTATTGTGTATAGATATGGCTAGAATACAAAACTAACAAATATGTCAGAGACAGAAATACAATTTGCAAGACATTAAGAGCCTCTCTTGGTAGTGGTGAAACTCGCAATCTAGTTTGGTTCAGGCACGTGGTGAGACATGATTTGATTGCCAAGACTGTACTTCATGGAACATTTGGGGGGAGGTGGGTTGTCGAAGAAGAAGAGGGCAAAGAAGAACCTGGAATGACAACATCAAGAAGAGGCTAGGACCAAGTTATCATACATACACTTATTCATCAAGGAAAGACAGAGAAAGATGGCATGTTTTATGTGTTTATGCTTCCATCGATACACCTCCAGACCCTAACGGTTCAAAGGTCAAAGGTTGTGTTAGGAACAAACTGTGGAATTGTTTTCATTGGGAGATGGAAGAGTTTAATGGTCTCTAGCTATGTAATTTATTTATAGGCGAAGAATTTAAAGCAACAAGAACCCAAAAAAATGTATGTCAAGAATTCATGGGAATTCCCCCACCCCTCTCCCTCCAAAAAAATAAATCCTTGAGTGGTAACATTAGTGTATACTGAAAATAATTGTTAGTTATGGCCTGTTAAATTGAGGTTTTTTTATTTTTCTCTCAAAGCTAAACGTGGATCTGAAGGGTGAGGTTCATTTCCTGACTCAAACTGGTCCCTTCCAAGTTCCGTTGTTGTGCAGCACCAGGAAGTGTGATGTAAGTTTGATCTCAGTGTGTTTTATCTTACACCTGTCAGTCAGAATAGTGCCTGCAGCAAATGGGGTCAGATATAAGGTAATAGAGAGATTTGGTGTAGTCATATGTAGTTGTAGAAGACTGGGTAAGTAGTAGTTGTTCTTCCTTTCCTCTTCCTTCTGCTCCTCCTTCTTCTTTCCTGTCATTCACTAATAAAAGGGCTGTTTACATGCTCTGTTGTGGCTTACAGCTAGGCTGTGATAACTACATCTTTCAGTCCAACACATCTTTTATGACATGCTTAGTAATGTCCATTAGGTAGACCCCCCCCACACCCCCCCCCACCCACACCCCCCCCCACCCCCCGTCTTTCCTTCCTGCTTTACCCCTTGAATACAGCCCCAGAACCCCCATGAAATAATATTCACACACTAAATACCTTAAAACATGATAAAATGAGGCATTTTTATTTCTTATATTCAGTTCCCTTAACTTTTTTTTTTTTCACTCCTAGCTGTCCGTAGACACCAAGGTTGTTCACTTTGGCACCTCAGTAATAGGAGAGACCTTGAAGCGGTCATTTGTGCTGACAAACCATGGGTCACTAGGAACCCAGTTTCAGTTCTTCAAGGGAACAGAAATCAAGCCTGATAAAACTGTTGCCGAAGCCGACCAGGACCAAATGGTAAGTCATGACCTCCTGAAGGCTTTTGTCATCAGCTCCACTTTTTCTGTCCAAGGCAAAGTATCATGTACGATCAACCGTTGTGCAAGTTTCAAGGTTCATTGCTGGATATTGATGTAAACTTCAGTCTCCTCTATTCACGCTTCGAGTCTACTTCTGCCATATTTATTTCACCTGAAAGATGTATTGATTGTAGAAGCCCTCCATTTAGGCCAGTGAACCATATCACCAGTTCCTTAATCATGTCCTCGTCTCACCAACTACCTTCCTCATGGTTGTACGATCAGCCCATGTACATCCAGTTTTCAACCTTCCTCATGGTTGTACGATCAGCCCATGTACATCCAGGTTTCAACCTTCCTCATGGTTGTACGATCAGCCCATGTACATCCAGGTTTCAAATGCGACTGTGAACCTTGGATGATCAGTAAACCAAAACAAACATCCAATCAAGCCACATAAATCTGATTATGAAGGCAAATACTGAATATTTTTTAGGACAGTGAATGTTTTGAAAGAGGCTAAGACATGAAGACAGTTGATCATCTAGAGATGGAATCTTTTTTTTTTTTTTTTTTTGCTGCTCTGAGAGGAGCATGTTCTGGGACTCTTGGAAGCTTTTTGTCATGGCATGAAATGTCAACACACAAACTGATTCCTTCTGGGAGAGATCACGCAATATGGAGATGCCTGGTTGTCAGTTAGTAAACTACTTGTATGTGCGATAGTGTTGTGTGTGTGTGTGCATGTGTATCTAAATAAATGTTTTTTATTTAGCACTTTAAATCTTCATCTTCTCTTTCACCATTTACCTCAGCAAGGTGTTAGGGGGAGGGATAAAGATCGTTTATGCGTTTTTTCCAGTGCATTGTACAAGGTGGTGTTAATTTCTGTTAGGTTGCTCCTGATGATGTTGCTCCATCTCTTGCGTGGTCTTCCCCTTGCTCAGTGTGTATTATATTTCTTCACCATGGCTCTCTGTGGCAGTTGGTACCAGCGCATTCTCGTCAGGTGGCCAAACCATCTCATTTGTTGTTCTTTGATGAATTGTATGATTGGTTTCAGTCCTAGTCTTCTTTTAATTTATTCATTCCTGATTTTATCTCTTCTTGTCACACCGGCAGCTCACCTAAGACATCTGTCTCATCTCTGTTGTTACGATTTTCCACTCATTAGTTGTAGTAAGGGTCATGTTTGGCACTCGCATCACAATAGCGCTTTGACACATTTTAAAATTATACTTGACATATTTTTCATTGTGAAATATCAGATCAATGAATCAAGTGCCGTCTCCACAAGGAAGGTTGGTTGTAATGGATGTACAACACTCTCTGTCATTCGCTCTGCTAATCCATCGCTTGATGTTATCTTTCCACATACATCATTGTCTGCCTTGTGCTCGCTTGCCTCCAACTTTTCCCTCTAGAATTTGTTCTATAAGAGTGTTTAGTCTTTTTAATATGGCCAAAATATTTCGCTGGTCTTGTTTTGGAGGTGTCTCTGTTTTTATGACTGATGTTGAATGCCCACGAGGACCGCACAACCAGTAATAAACACCCGGTAACACAAAGTGCCACCATTCAGATGAGAATCCTCTAGGCACAAGTCCCAGAAACCCTGTTTAACCCATAGGTTGGGTTATATTAGGGCCCTCGGCAACAGCCAGGGTGGAGCTTCAAAACAACACACAAAAGTTGTGTCCTACACTGGGATGCATGGTTTTTAGGTAACTATTTTATTTCCTAATCTATCCATAACCTCTTATTTGAGGTGTAGTAAGATATAGCATACGTTGATTGTACATGCTGTTTCACTGCAGGATCAGAATTCTTTAAGACAAGATCCTGTAACGTGTTGTCAGTTTTTCACAATATGCTAAAAAAAAATCTGGCTCCTCCATAAACCATTCCCATTGTGAATGTAACTCTTTGGAAGGTGCCACTTGTGATTTTTTTCTTATGGCTATTTTCCTTCTTTGACTTTGGCATCTGCTGCAAAAAGTTGCGTATGTGAGAGTTCTCCTTCACCTTCCGCCTTTCATCCCCCAGTGTAGCAGATACCTTCAACCAACTCATACCTCACCTTTTGTAGACTTGCTAATGATTGGGGAGACGTCATAGTTTTTTGTCTACAGGATGATGTTGTCAGTCAGTCTTATACCAACCGTTCTTAGTTGTCTATTATGACATGAATGAAATATTTTTACTGGTGATGTGAGCGACTTCATTGCCCTAGGTTTCATTCCTTCCATAATTCAAAGGATTATTCTGGGGGAGAGGGAAGAGACTGAGCTCCTGAACCAAACAGTTATTACCCTTGGGATGTAAAGTGAGGCCTTCCCTTCACATATTCTAGGCCATGACAGGTAAAGTGGGATGGCCAGTTCCTTGCCTCATCCCATGCCCTTCCCAGACAGAGTCCTGACAATTCTGGAGAATATCTGTGACCCATTTTATGAGGCTGGGTCAAACCCAGAGCTGAACTGACTGGGGAAAAATACTGACATTTAAGAGGATTAAAACCAGCAATGGCAAGGCATCATTATGTATGATTAAATGTTAGCAGACAGAATTACACTGGAGGTTATATTTTACTACTCATCGCTTTGTTGTTGTGAGTATGCGTGCACGGCTAGCATCATAGTACTAGTAACTGTTAGCTTTCACATTTTACAGTTTCTGCATGTGGCATAAGCAGGCAGTGAGCATTATTTTTTTATGTTCACAACATAAATCGAAAGGCATATTTGTAATAAATAGTAAACAGTAATAATAAATAGTAAAAAATGCATTTTTATTTTGGCAATGGAAAGTGTGAGCAACGTAAATAATCTTGACACGGCTCTCCAACTGTAACGCAGATCAGAGTCCTGACAGACAAGTGCACTGATCACTATAAACAGGATGTTTTTCATGCCAGGGAGATAGCAGGCATATGATGCTAAACTCGTATTTTGTGAAGACCAACCAGCACTGAGTGGGTGATGAGTTCAGCATCACTCTGGCCACCTTTACTTCTAAGGACTTTCTCTGCTACACATTTTAGGCTGGATTGACCTGGGAACCAAGATTATTTTTGGAAACAAATCCCACTCAATTTGAAATCGAATTTAAGACTTTACGGCCAGCAGGCAAGTGTTCAGCCACTATGCAGCTGTATTTGATACTTTAGTTGTAAGTCTTTTGTGCCTGCCATTTAGATTCCAGAGGATGTGGTGGAACCCATTGGGAACAAGGAAACTTCAGCGGAAAGCACAGGGTCACTTGTTTCACTGGCCCACATCCAGCAAGACATGGTTACTGATAGAGAAAATCAATCAAAGGAAGTTGTCCGTGCCAGCGAAATGCTTGCAACTCCTGCCGAATTAAATGCCGATACTTTGCGGAGGTTCTCTTCTCCTAAAGCTTTACAACTAAAAGGCGTAGGTATCCAGTAGTGTCCATATACCCGGTGTTGTGAGGAAGAACACAGACTTTTGGTGTGTGTTTTTGTTCTTCAAAATTGTGATTGTTGTTAGCGGGCTAAATTTTGGTCGATATTTCTTTGGTTTTGATTACATTTGCCTCTTGTGCGTTTATGTTTGTTTATTTGATGTTTTTAACACACCTATCAGTATGGTGATTAATTAAGGAACCAAGACTTATAAAATTAGTTAATCTAACTCATTAATAATGCTAAGAATTTTGTAAATTATATATGAATTATACTTGTGAAATACTTTCTGAATTTGCATATTGTTTCATAATAGTCTTTTTTTTTTCCTTCCTTGACCTTTTTTTTTTACCATTCTAATCATTTGAAACTAAAGGACAATTGATTAATTTGATTTTTATATTCAGAATTGTAACCCTTTCTTCTTCTTCTTCTTCTTATTATTATTATTATTATTATTATTAATTTCTTCTTCTCGTTATTATTATTGTTACTATTATTATTTTTACTTCTTCTTCATCTTCTTATTATTATGATTATTTTTCTTATTCTTCTTCTTCTTCTTTTTTCTTGTTCTTCACACTCACTGTAAACTTTAATGGGAAGTTTTTCTTGTTCTTCACACTCACTGTAAACTTTAATGGGAAGTTTTTCTTGTTCTTCACACTCACTGTAAACTTTAATGGGAAGTTTTTCTTGTTCTTCACACTCACTGTAAACTTTAATGGGAAGTTTTTGTTGTTCTTCACACTCACTGTAAACTTTAATGGGAAGTTTTTCTTGTTCTTCACACTCACTGTAAACTTTAATGGGAAGTTTTTCTTGTTCTTCACACTCACTGTAAACTTTAATGGGAAGTTTTTCTTGTTCTTCACACTCACTGTAAACTTTAATGGGAAGTTTTTCTTGTTCTTCACACTCACTGTAAACTTTAATGGGAAGTTTTTCTTGTTCTTCACACTCACTGTAAACTTTAATGGGAAGTTTTTCTTGTTCTTCACACTCACTGTAAACTTTAATGGGAAGTTTTTCTTGTTCTTCACACTCACTGTAAACTTTAATGGGAAGTTTTTCTTGTTCTTCACACTCACTGTAAACTTTAATGGGAAGTTTTTCTTGTTCTTCACACTCACTGTAAACTTTAATGGGAAGTTTTTCTTGTTCTTCACACTCACTGTAAACTTTAATGGGAAGTTTTTCTTGTTCTTCACACTCACTGTAAACTTTAATGGGAAGTTTTTCTTGTTCTTCACACTCACTGTAAACTTTAATGGAAAGTTTTTCTTGTTCTTCACACTCACTGTAAACTTTAATGGGAAGTTTTTCTTGTTCTTCACACTCACTGTAAACTTTAATGGGAAGTTTTTCTTGTTCTTCACACTCACTGTAAACTTTAATGGGAAGTTTTTGTTGTTCTTCACACTCACTGTAAACTTTAATGGGAAGTTTTTGTTGTTCTTCACACTCACTGTAAACTTTAATGGGAAGTTTTTCTTGTTCTTCACACTCACTGTAAACTTTAATGGGAAGTTTTTCTTGTTCTTCACACTCACTGTAAACTTTAATGGGAAGTTTTTGTTGTTCTTCACACTCACTGTAAACTTTAATGGGAAGTTTTTCTTGTTCTTCACACTCACTGTAAACTTTAATGGGAAGTTTTTCTTGTTCTTCACACTCGCTGTAAACTTTAATGGGAAGTTTTTGTTGTTCTTCACACTCACTGTAAACTTTAATGGGAAGTTTTTGTTGTTCTTCACACTCACTGTAAACTTTAATGGAAAGTTTTTGTTGTTCTTCACACTCACTGTAAACTTTAATGGGAAGTTTTTGTTGTTGATTCTCTTCTGGGCTTTGATCTTGTTCCAGAACTTGTTTTACGAACCTGGCTTGTTTGTATGCAGACTGTTGGTTTCTCACCTCTCGTTGGGGGACAATGGGGCTGCTCTTTCCCCCACAACATGGTCCTTGTTGGGGGGCAGTGGGACTGTTCTTTCCCCCACAACATGGTCCTTTTTGGGGGCAATGGGAACTGTTCTTTCCCCCACAACATGGTCCTCATTGGGGGGGGGAGGGGCAATGGGGCCGTTCTTTCCCCCACAACATGGCCCTCTAACCCACACATGAAAGTGTTCTTTCCCCACAACATGGTCCTCTAACCCACACATGGAAGTGTTCTTTCCCCCACAACATGGTCCTCATTGGGGGGGGGGGGCAATGGGGCCATTCTTTCCCCCACAACATGGTCCTCATTGGGGGGGGGGGGACAATGGGGCCGTTCTTTCCCCCACAACATGGTCCTCTAACCCACACATGGAAGTGTTCTTCCCCCCACAACTTGGTTCTCTAACCCACACATGGAAGTGTTCTTTCCCCCACAACATGGTCCTCTAACCCACACATGGAAGTGTTCTTTCCCCCAAAACATGGTCCTCTAACCCACACATGGAAGTGTTCTTTCCCCCACAACATGGTCCTCTAACCCACACATGGAAGTGTTCTTTCCCCCACAACATGGTCCTCTAACCCACACATGGAAGTGTTTTTTCCCCCACAACATGGTCCTCTAACCCACACATGGAAGTGTTCTTTCCCCCACAACATGGTCCTCTAACCCACACATGGAAGTGTTCTTTCCCCCAAAACATGGTCCTCTAACCCACACATGGAAGTGTTCTTTCCCCCACAACATGGTCCTCTAACCCACACATGGAAGTGTTCTTTCCCCCACAACATGGTCCTCTAACCCACACATGGAAGTGTTTTTTCCCCCACAACATGGTCCTCTAACCCACACATGGAAGTGTTCTTTCCCCCACAACATGGTCCTCTAACCCACACATGGAAGTGTTTTTCCCCTAAAACATGGTCCTCTAACCCACACATGGAAGTGTTCTTTCCACCACAACATGGTCCTCTAACCCACACATGGAAGTGTTCTTTCCCCCACAAAATGGTCCTCTAACCCACACATGGAAGTGTTCTTTCCCCCACAACATGGTCCTCTAACCCACACATGGAAGTGTTCTTTCCCCCACAAAATGGTCCTCTAACCCACACATTTAAGTGTTCTTTCCCCCACAACATGGTCCTCTAACCCACACATAGAAGTGTTCTTTCCCCCACAACTTGGTCCTCTAACCCACACATTTAAGTGTTCTTTCCCCCACAACATGGTCCTCTAACCCACACATGGAAGTGTTCTTTCCCCCACAACATGGCCCTCTAACCCACACATGGAAGTGTACTTTCCCCACAACATGGCCCTCTAACCCACACATGGAAGTGTTCTTAGAACTTTTCCCTTTTAAAAACAAAAACAGACAGCAAAAAAACTAATTTGAAAAATGTTTGTTATTATTAGTTTCATAACGTTTTCAGAATTGTGTTCTTTTATTTCGATTTGACTTTGATTTGTTTAAAATATTTTTTTTTCTACTAATTGATATTGTAAAACAACTTATTTGTGTAACCCTCAACTGTTATAGTCCTAAGCAAAGCCTGGTGTGTGAATGACTCTACCCCTTGATTTCACTCCATAGACTTATGTGCTGTCCTAATTTTTATATCTGGTTAGGACATATTAAACAAATCTGGCCTTCTCTAATGGTTACTACCACTGTGTATTTTGCTCCTTTGAATATCATTAATTCATCTTGGGTTTTTTCTTCACTTCACTTATCTCCCTTTAAACCTTCTGCTACCAAAAGAATTCAAGGTCAAGAAGTAAGTATTTTGGGCTAATATTTCCTAGCATTCATAATGTGTTGATTTCTGTTTGACCTGATTATACACTTTTAGGTTATAGTTACATTGTCCGGCCCAGAAAAGAGTGACTTCCCTTGCCATTCATGCCTTGTCGTGGTGCAGGGCCTGTCCTATGTGGCCGAGTTGTCACGCTTAGTGACACGTAGTATTTTACTTGTTGTCAGCAACCGGCGATATCGTATGTTCTATATTTCCGCAGTGTGAGAACTTTTAACGGTCCCAGAACATGTAGAACTGTGGGGGTCTTGCCATATACTCAAAGGGGATACAACCTGAGAAAGGTTAAAGACCACTGCTCTAAAACTACAGCAGTAGCAAACATTAAATGTCTTGTCATGTCAGTTGCCAGTGGTTTCACATCATGTCAGTTGCCAGTGGTTTCACATCATGACAGTTGCCAGTGGTTTCACGTCATGACAGTTGCCAGTGGTTTCACATCATGACATTTGCCAGTGGTTTCACATCATGACAGTTGCCAGTGGTTTCACGTCATGACAGTTGCCAGTGGTCTCACATCATGACAGTTGCCAGTGGTTTCACATCATGACAGTTGCCAGTGGTTTCACATCATGACAGTTGCCAGTGGTTTCACATCATAACAGTTGCCAGTGGTTTCACATCATGACAGTTGCCAGTGGTTTCACATCATGACAGTTGCCAGTGGTTTCACATCATGACAGTTGCCAGTGGTTTCACATCATGACAGTTGACAGTGGTTTCACATCATGACAGTTGCCAGTGGTTTCACATCATGACAGTTGCCAGTGGTTTCACATCATGACAGTTGCCAGTGGTTTTATATCATGACAGTTGCCAATGGTTTCACATCATGTCAGTTGCCAGTGATTTCACATCATAACAGTTGCCAGTGGTTTCACATCATGACAGTTGCCAGTGGTTTCACATCATGACAGTTGCCAGTGGTTTCACATCATAACAGTTGCCAGTGGTTTCACATCATGACAGTTGCCATTGGTTTCACATCATGACAGTTGCCAGTGGTTTCATGTCATGTCAGTTGCCAGTGGTTTCACATCATGACAGGTGCCAGTGGTTTCACATCATGACAGTTGACAGTGGTTTCAGGTCATGACAGTTGCCAGTGGTTTCAGATCATGACAGTTGCCAGTGGTTTCACATCATGTCATTTGCCAGTGGTTTCAGGTCATGACAGTTGCCAGTGGTTTCAGGTCATGACAGTTGCCAGTGGTTTCAGGTCATGACAGTTGCCAGTGGTTTCACATCATGACAGTTGCCAGTGGTTGACACATGGTGTGTTATTTGTTCCTGAATGAGTGTATGTTTTGTTGCATGTCCACCCTCAGCCGTCAAGTATTCCACAAACTCCGGCACTGCTGGAGAAAGCCTCGGGAGCATCAGTTCTTAAAGAGACCAGGAAATCGTCTATGGAAGGTAGGCTACATATTGTGTGTCAGAATGGTTTTATAAGTTACTGTGTTTCACTGTTGTTCATGTTTTTGCAGGCATTTAAAAAACAAAATACTTCTTCTTCTTGAAGTCCATGCCGTGTGGCGTTGGGAGTCATGTTATCCACATTCTGTCTTGTATACCTTCAAGCAACTTGTTAAAATTATCATAATATTTTTACTTATATAAATACTGACATCCCAAAAAAGATCTGAAAAAAAAGATCCTGCTACAGTCTTGTTGACCTTTACCCATCGGTCTATACAAAATGAGTCTAGCCTCATGTGCCTGATGCACCATTGGTGTTTAAATGGACCTTGACTTACCCATGCTCAGAGACTGTCAAAGGGTTGTCATGAGTCAAGTCCTCGTACATACTGGGTCATGGAGAGAATGATATTGGGTGACCAGCTCCCTTCCCCACAGATCACTGCTACCTATTTATTAAAGCTGAATCAACCTTAGACTGTTCACAAAGTAATCAGGACATGCCACTACTGGGAACTGAGCCCAAACATGCTGTATTTGTGAGCAGGTGGACTAGCTGCTCTACCCTCATGGTAATACACACATTCTTCTTCTTCTTGCCTTCTTTTTTCCCTTTATTATTGTCTTCTTCTTTTTTTATTCTTCCCTTCTTCATTCCTTTTCTTGAGTTTCTTTCTTGTCTGCCTCACCATCTGCATTTTCTTCTCTTCTTCTGTTTCATCTCCTCCTCTTTTTCTTTCATCTTCTTCTGTCTGCTATCTCCCAGTGGAGTTTAGGTTGTTTAACTTGCTTTGGTCTTTGTAGATGTGTTAATGATTGGCTGACACACAAGCAGATACCTGAAAGTACTAAAGTGAATTCTTTTCAGAACTATTTTTTGGCCATCACTATGCTATCAATGCCAAACGTGGACACTAACATCCTCCAATGAACGTAAAATTGTGACAACAGAGATGAAATGCCTTAGAAGAGCTGCAGGAGTTTCAAGGAAAGACAGAATACGAAATCATGAAATCAAGGGAATACTAGGAATAAAGCCAGTCTTACAGGTCATCAAAGAACAATAAATGAAGTGGTTTGGACACCTAACAAGAATGCCCTGGTATTATCTAGCACAGTGAGCCACACTAAAATGTTACAACGGGTATAGGGCGAGGGAAGACCTCGGAAAATATGGAGTGATGGCATTAAGAACAGTCTTACAGAAATGAACATCCGTCTTAATAGTGCTCTTGACAGAGCTCATCAACGAACATCACATCTCTCCCCGACACTTCGCTGAAGTACAAGGTGGGAGAGAAGAAGAAGAAGTTAATGATTGGTTGAATTAAAGCAGCGAAAATATTTGACGAGATAAAGTAGCCAGTCAGATGTCACCTCTCCGCAATCGTCTCTTGCGGCAGTATTGAAAGGTTACTGTGCTGCTGTTTTTACCTTCACTGATTGGTCAATGTAACACATGGGCAGATAATCAAATTGACCAACATTTCGTATTTTTATTTTTCAGAAAATGATGTTCCAACAGAAATGAATAAACTCCCAGTGGTGACAGAAGAAGAAAAACAGGATGTTGTTGAGGTTGTAGTCACTGAAGAATTATTATCACAATCCCCAGTCAAAAGTGACCTTGAACTGGGCAAGGTCTTGCTAGAAGGTAAACTTGCAGAGTTTCTGTTTGAGAGTTAATCACACGTGCGAGATGAATTGAAAGAACACAAATAAAACAAAACAAAAAGAAGTAGAGGAACTGAGATAAAAATAAGCTACTGAAGGAAATAAGGCACAACTGGCCATGTGCTGAGGATGTTGATGATCATTTATATGGAACCAAACTCACACTTGACTCTTCAAGGTTAGGAGGCAGGTACTAATTAATCGGCACTCATAGAAAGAAGTAGATAAAAGGACACACTAGACAACATAAAAACTAAAGCTATAGTTACCGTGCTTGGAATCGGACCAGATGTAACAGGGAGACGTCATTACTTGTTTGTTAGGAAGTAGGTTATTTTGCAGAGTTATGATGCACTGAAAATCAACAAGTTTTGCCAGCTTGACATTCCCTTTTCCAGAGTCTTCTTTTCCCGCCAAAACTAGCTGTTGACATCAAACTGATGTTGTCTGGCCTTGGCCTTCTTTCTAAAAGTTTTGAAATGCATTTTTTTCATCATGTGACCCAACCTTGTTGTACTAGTAAATACCTTGTTGTCGTGCCCTATCAAAGCAAACGCAATTGTACTTGTTTTCTAGAAGCTTCTATTGACGTCAGCTGTCAATTTAACTATTATATTTGCGCAGAATAGGATGATGAAATCTGATGCAATCAGATAGTTTACATAGTAAACAAGTTGATGTGTCCTAGAATATTCTAGAAGCAGAAAAAGTGAGAAGAAAACAGATAACTAGCATTCCAGCATCAAAGTATAAATAATGAGTGAGAAACCCCTAGGGCAATTCTTCAGTCCACAAGACTCAAGAGAAGAGAGACCAGTCACATGGACTCTCAAAGCAGCCTTCAGTCGTTGAAACTCAGAGGACGAGTGACTTGTCTCAATGATCCTCGCAGTTTTGGAAATGCCAACTCAACACTAGAAGGAGAGGAGCCAGTCACCTTGAGCCTCAAAGACAGTCACTAGAGTGCAGACATGAAATGAGACAACAAACTACAGAGATGATATAAAAGATATTCATGGTTAACGGCGACACATTAGGTAGGAACACTGTTGAGATGTTGGAGTCAGCGATGAAGCCATTAGTACCTGACAGCACTAGAAGCCAGGTGGCAGTTACAGACACTAGAACCAAAGGAATTAGAGATGAAGAACACAACACGAACCTACGATTATGTAGCCATAGAGAGAACACAGTGCTATTCTGAATTTCAATGATGTTATTTGTGACATTACTGAAGTATCACAATAAAGACAGTATCGACAAGAATAGTTGTTTCCAGACATTTTATTATACAAGCATCAGAGTCACGTGAGAAGCATGCAGCTAGCAAGACATAATCATCATCTTAAGACATCATCATCATCTTCACCACTATCAACACAACCATCTTTCTCCTCGTCTATAATCTTCCAATCGACTCCTCCTGTAGCAAACCTAAAGACGAACCTGGGTGTGACATCAACGTATACAACGGAGAAGAGAGCTGTGCTACACAGATCTCTGTCTTTATGATAGACGTGTCCAATGAAGACACCTTTTTTGGGGTGCTAAGTTGGTCGTGTTCTTAGTACACTTATTTCCATAGCGAAGCACACACGCTTTTTGGATGTGATACGTTCGATTCCCGGCACAGTAGCTTTTGATTTTTAAGTTGTCTAATGTTTCCTTCTGTCTACTTCTTTCTATGAGTGCCGACTAATACATTTTCTGTTTGTTTATTATCTGTGTGTGTGTGTGTATATATATATATATATATTATGTGGCCTTTGCTTGTCACAGCTTTTTCTAGCTAGTGTTCATTTCCTGTCTTCACATATGTTTCAGAGATTCAACTGCCAAGTCATGTGGGTTCCTCTCGGCGGCACTTCAGTCAAGTGATTTTGTGTATTCTTATTCCTATTTGTGGCCTATTCAAGCAGTGTGAAAGTATTCTAGCTACAACATCAACCTGTCACTTGTAGTTGAGCTCATGTGAAGGTGACTAGTTTTACTTTTTGTTTGGTTTCGTATCTTTTCATCAGACAGCAGGAAGAAGGAAACTTTTATGTCTGATCTAGAACCAATTGCTGAAACAGAAGAAGCAGCCCCAGTATTGTAGTTTACTTATGTTCTTCTTTCACTTCCAAGTAACCAAGTCTTCTGCTTGTTTCCCTTCTGACTGTTAGTCACTCACTGGAGTACAGTCTCTTAAACAACTCATTTCAAACCATCTTGTACATTTTGCCATTCTCTTTGCCCCTCCTCCATTTCCTTCATCTTAGTCTCTAACACTTGATCCGTGTTTCAAGGTCGTCCTTTGTCATTCTCTGTTGCTCCTCCTCCATTTCCTTCATCTTAGTCTCTAACACTTGATCCGTGTTTCAAGGTCGTCCTTTGTCATTCTCTTTGCTCCTCCTCCATTTCTTTCATCTTAGTCTCTAACACTTGATCCGTGTTTCAAGGTCGTCCTGTTTTTGAAATTATTTTGTCCTCTGCATGAACATTGTTTGCACACACTGAAATGAGTTTTATTGTTGTCCACACTGTGAGATGTTGGTCGTCGTATCTCTCCAAGGTCTGACATGATTTCCTCTCTTTTCCTCTTTCTATGTCTGTAGGTCCACCCAGTAAGTTTGTTGTTGTTTTAAAACCCCATCTCGGCTGTCGTCAGGGGGTCCTAATATAATCTAGCTGTTGAACAGGGTTTCTGGGACTTGTGCCCGGTGGATTCTCATCCGAATGATGGCACTTTGTGTCACCTGGTGATCATAACTCATTGTGCGGTCCTGGTAGGGTTGAATGTCACTCGTCACTTCATGTCTATCTCTGCCTTTCCCTTCTTCCTCCTTTCATTCCCTCCTCCCATCTTCATTTCTTCTGGTCCCTCTCTTTCTCTGCTCCCCCTCCCTCTCTCTCCCCTTCTCTCTGTCTCTGTCACTCTCTTTCTCTTTCTTTCTTTTTCCCTCTGTCTCTTTTTCACTCACAATATTTTGTGATGACTTCAAATTTCAGATATGATTTCATAAAATTTCAAATCTAATTTAGTAAGAATATAAAATTCCAGTGTTATCCAGTGACTGATATTGTATCTAATTGCAGATCTCAGTTCTTGCTGTGGCTAACGCAGTAGATGTCCCTGTGTGGGTGGGAAGGCCAACTGTTGACCTGAAGATTTGCATGTTTGATAGACTTTATCAGGACACTATCGTTATTCATAACAGGTCAGAGGTCATGCCAGTAATAATCATAGTCCTTATTTGAACTAACAAATAAACGTTACTTGCCAATGGCAAACAGTAAATAGCTACAAGCATCCACTGAAGTGAACTAGATTTTCTGACCATTGTTGTATATGAAATACCTACCTCTATCTACCAAGTCAAATCTCACAAGAACAATTTTTAGCCAACATTATGTAACCCCGCAAGCATAGGCCCTTACTATATTTAATGTAGAGATTGTAATGACAGAGATTAGATGTCTCTGAACAGTAGTCAAAATCACAAGGAGATATGAAAGAAAGAAAGAAAGAAAGAAAGAAAGAAAGAAAGAAAGAAAGACAGACAGACAGACAGACCAACAGACAGACGGACGGACGGACGGACGGACGGACGGACGGACGGACGGACGGACGGACGGACGGACGGACGGACGGACGGACGGACCGACGGACCGACGGACCGACGGACCGACGGACCGACGGACCGACCGACCGACCGACCGACCGACCGACCGACCGACCGACCGACCGACCGACCGACCGACCGACCGACCGACCGACCGACCGACCGACCGACCGACCGACCGACCGACCGACCGACCGACCGACCGACCGACCGACAGACAGACAGACAGACAGACAGACAGACAGACAGACAGACAGACAGACAGACAGACACAGACAGACAAACAAGAAACAAACAAACAAAAAAAGGAAGGAGGGAAGGAAGGTGGGAAGGAAGGAAGAAACAAACAAACAAACAAAGAAGAAACAAACAAATACAAACAAACAAACAAGAAACAAACAAAAAAGAAAGAAAGAAGGAAGGAAGGAAGAAAGTGTGTAAAATTATGTTTGTGATACTCTGTCTAGGGCTACAACATGTCTGAAGTTGCAGTTTGAAGTCTGCAGAGAACTGCGGAATCATCTAGAACTGTTGCCCAAAACTGGATTCATACAGGCACATTCTCAGTTCTCTGCCCAGCTGAAGTTCTTGCCCAGGTATGAACTATTTTGTTTTTATTTATGTAATTGTTATTTTCAGAACAAAGTGCAATATTGTTAACTACTGTATAAAAAAGGATCTTATATTAAATAGACTAAATAATATTTTAAAGTCTGCTTGAGCAGAAAACAGAGACAGCACTAATCATGAGGGTCGCACCATCTCATTCACGCATGAGATTTCTTGCCGGCTCCCATTCATGTAGTACCAGTTCTCACAAGCTGTCTTGTGTTGTTGGAGCATTACCACGTGGCTTGCTTCGCAGTGTGTACACACCATGTCAAAAGCAGCTGCCGCAGGTTTTGTTTTTGCATCTCTTTTTGTGTGTGAATGGTAGGCCTCTGGCGCCGAAAATTCCTGCATACGAGGAAGAAGTACTGCAGAGGGAAGCAGCAAAGGTGCGACACTTCATGAATATCAAATCATTGATGTTTTTGTATTATTGTGCTTGTTGACAGTGGCTGTCGCTGCTGGTGGATCTGTTTAAAACGGTCAAAACGAGAAACACATGACACCCCTAGTCTATAGGAGTGTCCCGGGAAATCCCCTGTGAAATCATGCTACCAACATGATAGGGTGACTTCCATGATTTGTACTACAGGGATTGTTTTTCAAAGAAGATAACCAAGATGACTGTTTTAACTGTAGTCATTTCTTTTGTAAAAGTTTGTATTTTTTTTTAGGTGCAGGTGAGCAGAAAGCAGACAGCAGGGTGTGGGCAAGCAGAAAGCAGACAGCAGGGTGCAGGTGAGCAGAAAGCAGACAGCAGGGTGTGGGTGAGCAGACAGCAGAAAGCAGACAGCAGGGTGCGGGTGAGCAGAAAGCAGACAGCAGGGTGTGGGTGAGCAGAGAGCAGAAAGCAGACAGCAGGGTGCGGGTGAGCAGACAGCAGAAAGCAGACAGCAGGGTGCTGGTGAGCAGACAGCAGAAAGCAGACAGCAGGGTGCCGGTGAGCAGACAGCAGAAAGCAGACAGCAGAAAGCAGACAGCAGGGTTCGGGTGAGCAGACAGCAGAAAGCAGACAGCAGGGTGCGGGTGAGCAGACAGCAGAAAGCAGGGAGTAGAGAGCAAAAAGAAATTCATAATCTGTTTAAATCACCCAACAAGTGGCATTATGAAGGCTAGTAGACTGCTATAGCTAGGACATATAGAGAGAATGGCAGACAGTTAGGACATATAGAGAGAATGGCAGATAGTTTGGACATATAGAGAGAATGGCAGATAGTTATAACATATAGAGAGAATGGCAGATAGTTAGGACATATAGTGAGAATGGCAGACAGTTAGGACATCTAGAGAGAATGGCAGATAGTTAGGACATATAGAGAGAATGGCAGATAGTTAGGACACATAGAGAATGGCAGACAGTTAGGACAAATAGAGAGAATGGCAGATAGTTAGGACATAAAGAGAGTATGGCAGATAGGACATAAAGAGAGTATGGCAGATAGTTAGGACATATAGAGAGAATGGCAGACAGTTAAGACATATATAGAGAATGGCAGATAGTTAAGACATATAGAGAGAATGGCAAATAGTTAGGACATATAGAGAGAATGGCAGATAGTTAGGACATATAGAGAGTTTGGCAGATAGTTAGGACATATAGAGAGAATGGCAGATAGTTAGGACATATAGAGAGAATGGCAGATAGTTAGGACATATAGAGAGAATGGCAGATAGTTAGGACATATAGAGAGAATGGCAGATAGTTAGGACATATAGAGAGAATGGCAGACAGTTAGGACATATAGAGAGAATGGCAGATAGGACATATAGGGAGAATGGCAGAGTTAGGACATATAGAGAGAATGGCAGATAGCTAGGACATATACAGAGAATGGCAGATAGTTAGGACATATAGAGAGAATGGCAGATAGGACATATAGAGAGAATGGCAGATAGGACATATAGAGAGGATGGCAGATAGTTAGGACATATACAGATAATGGCAGACAGTTAGGACATATAGAGAGAATGGCAGATAGGACATATAGAGAGAATGGCAGATAGGACATATAGAGAAAATGGCAGATAGTTAGGACATATACAGATAATGGCAGACAGTTAGGACATATAGAGAGAATGGCAGATAGGACATATAGAGAGGATGGCAGATAGTTAGGACATATACAGATAATGGCAGACAGTTAGGACATATAGAGAGAATGGCAGATAGGACATATAGAGAGAATGGCAGATAGGACATATAGAGAAAATGGCAGATAGTTAGGTCATATACAGATAATGGCAGACAGTTAGGACATATAGAGAGAATGGCAGATAGTTAGGACATATAGAGAGAATGGCAGATAGCTAGGACATATACAGATAATGGCAGACAGTTAGGACATATAGAGAGAATGGCAGATAGTTAGGACATATAGGGAGAATGGCAGAGTTATGACATATAGAGAGAATGGCAGATAGTTAGGACATATAGAGAGAATGGCAGATAGTTAGGACATATAGAGAGAATGGCAGATAGTTAGGATGAATAGAGAGAATGGCAGATAGTTAGGATGAATAGAGAGAATGGCAGAGTTAGGACATATAGAGAGAATGGCAGATAGTTAGGATGAATAGAGAGAATGGCAGAGTTAGGACATATAGATAGAATGGCAGATAGTTAGGACATATAGAGAGAATGGCAGATAGTTAGGACATATAGAGAGAATGGCAGAGTTAGGACATATAGAGAGAATGGCAGATAGTTAGGACATATAGAGAGAATGGCAGATAGTTAGGACAAATAGAGAGAATGGCAGATAGTTAGGACATATAGAGAGAATGGCAGAGTTAGGACATATAGAGAGAATGGCATATAGTTAGGACATATAGAGAGAATGGCAGATAGTTAGGACATGTAGAGAGAATGGCAGATAGTTAGGATGAATAGAGAGAGTGGCAGACAGTTAGGACATACAGAGAGAGTGGCAGACAGTTAGGATGAATAGAGAGAATGGCAGATAGTTAGGACATACAGAGAGAGTGGCAGACAGTTAGGACATATAGAGAGAATGGCAGATAGTTAGGATGAATAGAGAGAATGGCAGATAGTTAGGATGAATAGAGAGAGTGGCAGATAGTTAGGATGAATAGAGAGTGGCAGATAGTTAGGATGAATAGAGAGAATGGCAGATAGTTAGGATGAATAGAGAGAATGGCAGATAGTTAGAATGAATAGAGAGAATGGCAGAGTTAGGACATATAGAGAGAATGGCAGATAGTTAGGATGAATAGAGAGAATGGCAGATAGTTAGGATGAATAGAGAGAATGGCAGATAGTTAGGATGAATAGAGAGAGTGGCAGATAGTTAGGATGAATAGAGAGAGTGGCAGATAGTTAGGATGAATAGAGAGAGTGGCAGATAGGATGAATAGAGAGAATGGCAGATAGTTAGGACCTATAGAGAGAATGGCAGATAGTTAGGACATATAGAGAGAATGGGAGATAGTTAGGACATATAGAGAGAATGGCTGATAGTTAGGACATATAGAGAGAATGGCTGATAGTTAGGACATATAGAGAGAGTGGCAGATAGTTAGGACATATAGAGAGATTGGCAGAAAGTTAGGACATATAGAGAGAATGGCAGATAGTTAGGACATATAGAGAGAATGGCAGATAGTTAGGACATATAGAGAGAATGGCAGATAGTTAGGACATATAGAGAGAATGGCAGACATAGAAGAAATTAAATGTATTATGAACTATTTGGAAAAGTTGAAACATTTTTTTCACACCCAATATGTTGCAAATCTGTTGCAGGTGACACCAGTCTGTTTTACAGTGCAGGCTGTTGTGACTACCTCAGACCTAGAATTTGGAGTTTGTGACCTTGACTTTGGTTGCTGCACGATCCATGAATCTGTCAAGCAATCGTTTAAACTGACAAACAAATCTATTTTATCGCAACAGTTTGGGTTCGTTGGGTTACCAGACGTGAGTACTCTAATGAACTGTAGCCGTAACATGAATTGTCTCTGTCATGGGAGGAAGACTTTTCACAGGGATAACTGTCACATAAGAAGAATATCAGGTTTAACCCTTGGGGTTAACTTTGGGATATAAAAAGTTCATTGAGTTTCCAGAGTATATTTTATTACTTTCTATATCATGTAGTCATTTCTTTCTGCCATGTACGCAGTTTGTATGGATATTATATAAAGACTGTCCTGTTCACAATTTATGTGTTATGATTGTGACAGATAAATACTCTGTAATGAGTAATTCGATAATATTAATAACATAGTTCCTTAAAATAGTAGATTTATTATGTCCTACCTATAGTTGTTGATTATCCTTGTTGATTATTTAGCTTTTGAAATTATTTTCAAAGATTATATGGACTTTTCCTCCTCTAAATGGATTTTTAGTTCCAATTATAAATTGCTTGATCTTGCCAGACATATTTCTAACGCTGTCTACTGAAAATAGTTAGTTTAAATCAATGCGTACTTTTTTTTTAGATGCAGATATAAGCTGATAACTTTAAATGCAGCCATTCAGTAATTACCATATATTTAATGTTTGAAGAATCACAGAGATAAAGAATAGATTAGAATAGGCTTAAAGTGCATTTTATCAATAAATCCATGTGACTGTAGGTTAGAAAATAGAATTCTTGCATGATAAATAGAGCCAGTTTTAGCAAATGACAGTGAATCCTGGACAGTTAATAAACAAGCCAGATTTTCTTGAGGCCTTAAAGATTTGGTTTTACAGAAAAATTCTTAAAATTTCCTGGACAGCCAAAAAGAGCGACCTAGATGTTTTGAAAGAGGTGGGGGTTCAAAGACAACATGTCACAAACATCAAAAAGAGATAATAATCATTTGTTGGTCATATTATGAGAGGAAAGAAATTGGAACATGTTGTGACCACTTGAAAAATCTGAGGAAAAAGATAATGAGGAAGACAACGCAATAAGATTCTTGACAGCCTTTTGTTATGGCATAGGTGGGGGGGGGGGGCTTCACATGAACTGATAAATTCTCTGTTGGAGATCACGGATAGTGAAGAGGCAGATGATGATGATTATTTAGTCTTTGATGTGGAAAGAAGTATGGCAAGTAAGAAAGGAAAAGTTGTCACATTTTATAATTTGTCTGACGCTGAGTCAAATATTTTGATCACCATATCTTCATGAGAGACTTTTGGAAGTCTCTGAAACAGAAAGGACTAACAGACCATAGCTGAAAGAGTTAGGGAAAGTATATGGTGTAGCCAGAGAGCATATGGTGCTAAACTTTATACAGAAATTTTAAATTTAAAAAAAATTTAATTAGTTAAAAAATGCACAGAACAATGATATGAGAATAATAAAACATAAATAGAAATACATTTTATGTGTTTTCATTATCTTCGCAGGACACTTTCCATGAAAATTGTTTGTCCCTGCTGTCAGTTCCTTTTCTGTGTTATTTCAGTGTTTAGAAGTGCAGCCTAATGATGGTTTTGGAACTCTCCTACCATTAGAAACAGTAACACTGGATGTTATTTTTAGCCCTAAGGCTGCAAAAGAATTCAAGATGAACCTTCTGTGTCGGACTTTAATCAACAGGTTTGTGTGGAAATAAATAATTGTGATAAGCATCAATCTTGATTATAAAATTACTAGATATTATTGACTGACACAGTAAAAACAACACACACATTTTATCGACTTGAAGTCATCATCGTCATCATTAAAGCATTTAGATCAGTGGTTACCACAATATTTGAGGCTGATGCCCTTGTACCTCTCAGTCTACATTCTCATATTATGCTTATCTTTCCCATTCCCCATACATACAGGTAAAAAGTCTTTTTTTTTAAACTAATTTCAATTAGATGGGTTTCAGACCTGCATGTAAATAATTGTAATGTTTTTTTTTCATACCAAGTGTGTCTGTTATTTTCTAATTCTGTTGTCTTCTGTCTGTCTGTCCATAAACCTTTCTAGCTCACACATGTGCTAGCTTTTTTTCTTCTCAACTGGCAGAAATATGAAGACTGTCTCTTTATATGTTTATGTAAGTTTTATTTCATATCTTGATTTCTCATTGAAGAGCAGCTGGAAGCATACACAAAATGTGAACATAGCAGTTGCAGCAGCAATCTTCAGAAAAATCTGGAAAAGTTGCACTTGTGAGCCAAACAAGGGAGTTTGAAAACAACCTGTGACCTTTATAGTGTGAGATAAACGACCTAACCACTTCTCCAAAGAGTTCTGCATGGAAGAAAAGGAGCACGGATAAACTTTGTATATATATATATTTTTTTTTTAAATATTGCAGAGATTTCAGTATTCCATGTAAAGGAGTTGGTGTGCTGACACCATTAGAGCTGTCGAGGCAAGTGATTAACTTCAAGGCTACGTCTGTCTTCGATACATCCACTGCTACACTCTACATCATCAACAGTCACACAAGTACTAATGAGTTCACACACCCAGTGCCCAGGATTGGAGCAGGTGAGTAAGGACATGAGACTCCACTGAGGTCACACTGTCCGTACCTGAGCTTCTATTTCTTCTCCTTCTTCTTTTACTTCTTCTTCCTCTTTTCTTCCCTGCATTGTGTCATTAACTATGATGATGGTGATGATATAACCATCAGTTGAGTTTCCATTTTGTGGAGCTCTTTAGTTCCATACAACTTGAAGTTTAGTGTTGACTAGTGCTTTTTCTTTTTTTTTAGCTTACAGTACAGAAGAGTCCTGATGTACCAGTTTGTAATTACTGTCTTGAGTAACTGACTGTATTGTAATTATGATCTAGACTAACTGACTGCTGTATTGTAATGATTATGTTGACTAAATAACGGAATTGTAATTATGATCTAGACTGACTGGATTGTAATTATTATCTAGACTAACTGATGGATTGTAATTATTATCTAGACTAACTGACTGGATTGTAATTATTATCTAGACTAACTGACTGGATTGTAAATATTATCTAGACTAACTGACTGGATTGTAATCACTGCCTTGTATAACTATAATAATTATATTGACTAAATGACTGAACTGTAATTAAGATCTAGTCTAACTGACTGAATTGTAATTATTATCTTCACTAAATGACTGTATTATAATTATGATCTTGACTGACTGAATTGTTATTATTATCTTGACTGACTGATTTGAAATTACAATCTTGACTGAACCAATTTGTAATTACTATCTTAACTAACTGACTGAATTGTAATTTCTGTTTTGACTAACGACTGAATCATAATTATTAAATAGATTATCTTACTTATGTGTAGTTAGTATCTTCACTACTACGACTAACTGACATAGATGTAAGGACTTTCTTGACTAAATGAATGAAAGTAAGGAGTAACTTGACTTGCCTAGTGGTAAGGTAAGGAGTATTTTGGCTGACTAAGATGTAAGGCATATATAGACTCACTGACTTAGATGCAAGCAGTATCTTGACCAGTTAACTAAGATGTAAGGCATATATAGACTCACTGACTTAGATGCAAGCAGTATCTTGACCAGTTAACTAAGATGTAAGGCATATATAGACTCACTGACTTAGATGTAAGCAGTATCTTGACCAGTTAACTAAGATGTATGGCATATATAGACTCACTGACTTAGATGTAAGCAGTATCTTGACCAGTTAACTAAGATGTAAGGCATATATAGACTCACTGACTTAGATGTAAGCAGTATCTTGACCAGTTAACTAAGATGTATGGCATATATAGACTCACTGACTTAGATGTAAGCAGTATCTTGACCAGTTAACTAAGATGTATGGCATATATAGACTCACTGACTTAGATGTAAGGCATATATAGACTCACTGACTTAGATGTAAGCAGTATCTTGACCAGTTAACTAAGATGTATGGACTGTCCTGACTTACTGGCATAGATGTATGTGCTGTCTTGACTTTTTTACTAAGATGTAAGGAGTATCATGACTAATTATCTTGAATAATCAGCTAAGATACAAGAACCATCTTGACTAGTTTACTAAGATGTAAGGAGTATCATGACTAATTGTCTTGAATAATTAGCTAAGAAACAAAGACCATCTTGACTAGTTTACTAAGATGTAAGGAGTATCATGACTAATTATCTTGAATAATCAGCTAAGAAACAAGGACCATCTTGACTAGTTTACTAAGATGTAAGGAGTATCATGACTAATTATCTTGAATAATCAGCTAAGATACAAGAACCATCTTGACTAGTTTACTAAGATGTAAGGAGTATCATGACTAATTGTCTTGAATAATTAGCTAAGAAACAAGGACCATCTTGACTAGTTTACTAAGATGTAAGGAGTATCATGACTAATTATCTTGAATAATCAGCTAAGAAACAAGGACCATCTTGACTAGTTTACTAAGATGTAAGGAGTATCATGACTAATTGTCTTGAATAATTAGCTAAGATACAAGAACCATCTTGACTAGTTTACTAAGATGTAATGACTGTTTTGTTATGAAATGAGTTAAAACTGTTTTATTTTATCACATTCCAGGAGAGGTGTTTCCTGTGGGACCAACATCCTTTGAGTTTAAAGTTCCACAAGATGCGCCCATAACCATATCTCCTTGTGTGGGCACTCTCCTTCCAGGACAGGTCAGAGAGATGCTTAATGATGTTTTCCTTAGGGGCTGTAGAAGAATGGGGCTGTGTATGTTTGTCTGGGTGTGTGCGTAAGTGTGTACATGTATATGAATGTATATGTGTCTGAATGTGCATGCATGTGTGTGTGTGTGTGTGTGGATGATTAAATGTTAGTCCATTCTGTGTTCTTATATTATAATTGTCTCTATCTGGTTTCTTTTTCATTTTCGCAATCAGTATTTATAAAGACGTGTTTGCATGAATAATGATAATACACAGGAATGTTTTTGGAGTGTTTAAAGATGAAAAGATTGACATCACAGAATAGCTGCCTCATTGCTCAGTCTCTTGCTGCATAGTGGCAGGTCAACAGCTGAGAGATCACACATGGCTGAGTCTCTTCCAGCAGAGTGGCAGGTCAACAGCTGAGAGATCACACATGGCTGAGTCTCTTCCAGCATAGTGGCAGGTCAACAGCTGAGAGATCACACATGGCTGAGTCTCTTCCAGCATAGTGGCAGGTCAACAGCTGAGAGATCACACATGGTTGAGTCTCTTCCAGCAGAGTGGCAGGTCAACAGCTGAGAGATCACACATGGCTGAGTCTCTTCCTGCATAGTGGCAGGTCAACAGCTGAGAGATCACACATGGCTGAGTCTCTTCCAGCAGAGTGGCAGGTCAACAGCTGAGAGATCACACATGGCTGAGTCTCTTCCTGCATAGTGGCAGGTCAACAGCTGAGAGATCACACATGGCTGAGTCTCTTCCAGCAGAGTGGCAGGTCAACAGCTGAGAGATCACACATGGCTGAGTCTCTTCCAGCAGAGTGGCAGTTCAACAGCTGAGAGATCACACATGGCTGAGTCTCTTCCTGCATAGTGGCAGGTCAACAGCTGAGAGATCACACATGGCTGAGTCTCTTCCTGCATAGTGGCAGGTCAACAGCTGAGAGATCACACATGGCTGAGTCTCTTCCAGCAGAGTGGCAGGTCAACAGCTGAGAGATCACACATGGCTGAGTTTCTTCCTGCAGAGTGGCAGTTCAACAGCTGAGAGATCACACATGGCTGAGTTTCTTCCTGCAGAGTGGCAGGTCAACAGCTGAGAGATCACACATGGCTGAGTTTCTTCCTGCAGAGTGGCAGGTCAACAGCTGAGAGATCACACATGGCTGAGTTTCTTCCTGCAGAGTGGCAGTTCAACAGCTGAGAGATCACACATGGCTGAGTCTCTTCCAGCAGAGTGGCAGTTCAACAGCTGAGAGATCACACATGGCTGAGTCTCTTCCTGCATAGTGGCAGGTCAACAGCTGAGAGATCACACATGGCTGAGTCTCTTCCAGCAGAGTGGCAGTTCAACAGCTGAGAGATCACACATGGCTGAGTCTCTTCCTGCATAGTGGCAGGTCAACAGCTGAGAGATCACACATGGCTGAGTCTCTTCCTGCATAGTGGCAGGTCAACAGCTGAGAGATCACACATGGCTGAGTCTCTTCCTGCATAGTGGTAGGTCAACAGCTGAGAGATCACACATGGCTGAGTCTCTTCCTGCATAGTGGTAGGTCAACAGCTGAGAGATCACACATGGCTGAGTCTCTTCCTGCATAGTGGTAGGTCAACAGCTGAGAGATCACACGTGGCTGAGTTTCTTGCTGCATAGTGGCAGGTCAACAGCTGAGAGATCACACATGGCTGAGTTTCTTCCAGCATAGTGGCAGGTCAACAGCTGAGAGATCACACATGGCTGAGTCTCTTCCAGCATAGTGGCAGGTCAACAGCTGAGAGATCACACATGGCTGAGTCTCTTCCAGCAGAGTGGCAGGTCAACAGCTGAGAGATCACACATGGCTGAGTCTCTTCCAGCATAGTGGCAGGTCAACAGCTGAGAGATCACACATGGCTGAGTCTCTTCCAGCAGAGTAGCAGGTCAACAGCTGAGAGATCACACATGGCTGAGTCTCTTCCAGCATAGTGGCAGGTCAACAGCTGAGAGATCACACATGGCTGAGTCTCTTCCAGCAGAGTGGCAGGTCAACAGCTGAGAGATCACACATGGCTGAGTTTCTTCCAGCAGAGTGGCAGGTCAACAGCTGAGAGATCACACATGGCTGAGTCTCTTCCAGCAGAGTGGCAGGTCAACAGCTGGGAGATCACACATGGCTGAGTCTCTTCCAGCAGAGTGGCAGGTCAACAGCTGAGAGATCACACATGGCTGAGTCTCTTCCAGCATAGTGGCAGGTCAACAGCTGAGAGATCACACATGGCTGAGTCTCTTCCAGCATAGTGGCAGGTCAACAGCTGAGAGATCACACATGGCTGAGTCTCTTCCAGCAGAGTGGCAGGTCAACAGCTGAGAGATCACACATGATTGAGTCTCTTCCAGCAGAGTGGCAGGTCAACAGCTGAGAGATCACACATGGCTGAGTTTCTTCCAGCAGAGTGGCAGGTCAACAGCTGAGAGATCACACATGGCTGAGTCTCTTCCAGCAGAGTGGCAGGTCAACAGCTGAAAGATCACACATGGTTGAGTTTCTTCCAGCAGAGTGGCAGGTCAACAGCTGAGAGATCACACATGGTTGAGTCTCTGTCGGCAGAGACTTATATAGATATCCAGGTGGCAGAGAGTTGATGACTTATATAGATATCCAGGTGGCAGAGAGTTGATGACTTATATAGATATCCAGGTGGCAGAGAGTTGATGACTTATATAGATATCCAGGTGGCAGAGAGTGGATGAATTATATAGACATCCTGGTGACAGAGAGTGGATGACTTATATAGATATTCAGGTGGCAGATTGAGGATGACTTATATAGATATCCAGGTGGCAGAGAGTTGATGACTTATATAGATATTCAGGTGGCAGAGAGTTGATGACTTATATAGATATCCAGGTGGCAGAGAGTTGATGACTTATATAGATATCCAGGTGGCAGAGAGTTGATGACTTATATAGATATCCAGGTGTATAGATATCCAGGTGGCAGAGAGTGGATGAATTATATAGACATCCTGGTGACAGAGAGTGGATGACTTATATAGATATTCAGGTGGCAGATTGAGGATGACTTATATAGATATCCAGGTGGCAGAGAGTTGATGACTTATATAGATATCCAGGTGACAGAGAGTTAATGACTTATATAGATATCCAGGTGGCAGAGAGTTAATGACTTATATAGATATCCAGGTGGCAGAGAGTTGATGACTTATATAGATATCCAGGTGACATAAAGTTGATGACTTATATAGATATCCAGGTGGCAGAGAGTTGATGACTTATATAGATATCCAGGTGGCAGAGAGTTGATGACTTATATAGATATCCAGGTGTATAGATATCCAGGTGGCAGAGAGTTGATGACTTATATAGATATCCAGGTGGCAGAAAGTTAATGACTTATATAGATATCCAGGTGGCAGAGAGTTGATGACTTATATAGATATCCAGGTGGTAGAGAGTGGATCACTTATATGGATATCCAGGTGGCAGAGAGTTGATGACTTATATAGATATCCAGGTGGCAGAAAGTGGATGACTTATATAGATATCCAGGTGGCAGAGAGTTGATGACATATAGATATCCAGGTGGCAGAGAGTGGATGACATATATATATCCAAGTGGCAGATTGAGGATGACTTATATAGATATCCAGGTGGCAGAGAGTTGATGACTTATATAGATATCCAGGTGGCAGAGAGTGGATGACTTATATAGATATCCAGGTGGCAGAGAGAGGATGACTTATATAGATATCCAGGTGGCAGAGAGTGGAGGACTTATATAGATATCCAGGTGGCAGAGAGTTGATGACTTATATAGATATCCAGGTGGCAGAGAGAGGATGCCTTACATAGATATCCAGGTGGCAGAGAGTGTATGACTTATATAGATATCCAGTTAGCAGAGAGAGGATGACTTATATAGATATCCAGGTGGCAGAGACTGGATGAATTATATAGATATCCAGGTGGCAGATTGAGGATGACTTACATAGATATCCAGGTGGCAGAGAGTGTATGACTTATACAGATATCCAGGTGGCAGAGAGTGGATGACTTATATAGATATCCAGGTGTCAGAGAGTGAATGACTTATATAGATATCCAGGTGACAGAGAGTTAATGACTTATATAGATATCCAGGTGACAGACAGTGGATGACTTATATAGATATCCAGGTGGCAGATTGAGGATGACTTATTACCAGATTACCAGATATCCAGGTGGCAGAGAGAGGATGACATAGATATCCAGGTGGCAGAAAGTGGATGACATATCAGATTACCAGATATTCAGGTGGCAGAGAAAGGATGACTTATATAGATATCAAGGTGGCAGAGAGGGGATGATTGATATCCAGGTGCAGTCACTCTCCCTGTATGGGTTCCAGGACCCCGTTGGTAAAAGAGGCATGTGGGAAATAGACCCTCTGCTTCCCTGACAAGTATGTCATAAAAGGCGACTAATAAGGGGTTTTTCCACTGAAGTCGGAGAGCATCTCCCTGACAGGCAGTGAACCAGCAGCCTGCATACAAGTAAGCCAGATCTGTAAAAAATAACAAAATGTGCACGCATAATTCAAGTTTTCTGAAAGAAGACTTAAGCCCAAAAAGAAAACGAAAGAATCAGAACTTTCGGCTGGAGCTTACAGACAGTGAATACGACAAAAAGAAGAACAAATTATTCACTCATAAATTACAGTTTTGGATGTGTTCTTGGTTGTCATGACGCGGAAATTAGGTTACGCACTGGCACGCCATTTCATTCATAAATCTTGGACCGCTCAGGGGTGTGTGTTTAGTCTCAATGCTTTCCGCAGACAACCCCGCCGTCGGTGATGTGCATGATGTCATCATGTGTCACACGCCAAGAGTCCAAGAAAATTTAAATGAAAGGTTACCCTCACGACCACCCTGAACTGACCCCGCTGCCGAATAGACACTCGGACCCCCTGTGACTCGGAAGAGTCCAAGAAGCTATAAATAAAATGTCCGCATCATGACAACCGTGAACAGATCTAAAGTTTCTTTAAAGACCAAAGCTTATAACTTACAGAATTTCCTGTTATTTTTTTATTTTTTTTATCATTGTTGCAGAAGGTTCAGCTGGAGGTACGATTTTCTCCAGTGTTGGATAGTGATGATATCAGACTAGAAGCTGTAAAAATAAAGGCCAAGTTGCAGGCAGAAAAAGAGGAAAGGGAAAGAGAGGAGGCAGCAGAAAGAGAGAAGAAAGAGTCAGATATGGTGAGTAAAGGAGTTCTCATTTATGACCTACTACTGAAAAGATGAAGTAAATACCTTTACCTCGGTTGAGAGATCTTAGAAAATATGGTGTTTACCTCAGTCTTGTATAGAACATCAGCATTCACTAGATTGTATGGTCATTATATTGGCAGCCGCCTTTACTTCCCAGAGTATTCCTTTAAAACCCAGTGTAGATTGGGTTGACTGGTGAGCTCAAATCCATTTCTCCAAATCTCTATATTGGCATGGACTTAACTCTTTCTGCCCCATGAATTTTGACAGGCTTGGCTCACTTTAATTTCCCATTACAAAAATATCAGACAGGGTAGTGTAAAAAAAAAAAAGCAATTAAGAATGTAACTTATTTTTAATCCCTACAAAAGTGTCTATTTTTTTAGGGGAATGAATGTACATTTTGAATCTGATAAAATGTTGTTTCATACTGTTTTAGTTAGTAAGGAAAACAAATTCAGCAGGTGTTATGTTTACAAAAACAAAATTTTACCCAACAAATCTTCACTTACCACGGTTTTGCATCAACAAGAGCAGTGAATTTCCATATTTGAGAATAACACTGTAAAGTTTTTCCAGTTTCCTAACAAATTCAAAAGTTTTGGGACGTTTCTGGGTTAGTTTATCTCAGAGGCTCTAGGTTCTCATAGATGCTAAACAAAATTTCAACAACAAAAATTGCATAGAATTGGACCAATAGTCCTATACACATAAAATATTAACTTTGTAGTTATATACCGACTGTAGCTTAGCCATAGTATTAATATGGTACTGTCTGAAACAGTCTTTCTGTTGCAAATGTGGGTGACTATCTCATCCTTTGCAAATGAAATGGGTTTGCTGGATTTACCTCATCAGAATGAAGAGCTGACCACTCAGCTGCCACTGGTAAAAATTTACCATTTGAATCACTTTAAGAAAAATTTCTATGTTTCATTAGAAAACATCTGACTTAAACAATTTCAGAGCTTCAGCCATAGAACGGCACATTTTTTAACCTCTGCTTGTGTTAGGAACATTGGTAACCATGGCAACTTGAACACGAAGTCAGAAAATGCACTGTCTTTAAATCACGCAAGCAATGAATAGGATCAATTTGCACCCACATGTGTGCGAACATAGACTTGTTTACAAAGAAAAGCGTTAGAGTAACCTTCCGTGAATTTAATGCTAGTTCCCAACATTAGAAACAAATACAGAGCAGTACGTGAATTAATATGTACGGGACACATGATCGACACAGTGCCGTTTAGGCTTATTGGAAATTCTCACTCAGCACACACAGCATTGCTCATGCCTCAGAGAGTTAAACACCTAACCACCAAGCCAGCACACAGACATTCTAGCCACAACTCCAGCAGCTTTCATTTTAGCTGTGACCGATTCACTTTTACCATGATTACCTGCCCCTTGCTTCCTAAGTATTTGATTTACCTTCCCCTGATCTTTCTGAAACTTGAAATCTGGGGAGCTATTGTGGCTGTTGATGAGAAGATTTTAACCCAGATACATCAGGACAGCATACCAGTTTATTTAGTCACTGCACTACTTAGAACATTCATCTGATAAAATGGCCTGACAAATGCAAACTTTCCTTAATCTTTAGATGTCTCTGATATTGTTTTTTTTTTTTTAAAGCTATCTTTTATTGGTATTTTTCTATGTATGCTTACTAATGCTTGCTTGCAAACAATTGGCTGAATTCCCAGCAATTAATGTTGCACTGAAGTTTTTGTCTTGTTTTAGGTTACATCAAGTTATATTTACATTTGTAGATTTGTCTCTGTGTTTGTATGTGTGAGTGTGTGTGTGTGCATGCGTGTGCGCACATGCAAGCATGTGCGCGTTGTTTGTGATAAGAAGTGAGTTGGTATATGTGTGTATTTGTGTTTTTTGTATGTATATATATATATATATATATATATATATATATATATATATATATATATATATATATATATATATATATATATATATATATATATATATATATATATATACAAGTATAAATACTTACATAGGGCTAAATCGTTTTTACATTTGTTGGAGATTGTCTCGAAACTTAAGTAGGGAGGAAGAGAATTGGCCACCCAGTCTCATACTATTTGGTCTAGAGTATGAGAAGGCCTTTCACTTCAATCTCATTGGGGTCTCAATGTCGAAGTAGTCAGGTCTCATGCTCTGAAAGTCAAAGATTCATGGCTGTGTCATTCAGTTCATGAATGCAATTTATATGAAGACTTTTGGGGATCATTGCTGGAGCCTTGGTGTTGGTGCTTTGAGTGACACTGCCCAGTAGGCAGAGTGATACTGAGCCATATGGAATAAAACCTAAAATCATGAAGTCGATTCTCTTGACCTTAACCATTTTTTTAAAACTTCATTAAGAAAATAATCTGAGATATTATCCTTGACAAATTGTCTGTGTCAGATATTTGAAATTCACATAAATAAACCGAGGCGGAACCCTTGAGGCCGTTAAATACTATATATTATTAAAGTAATAGAAAATTTATTGATTAGCACTCATAGAAAGATTTAGAAAGATAGAAGAACACACTAGACAACATAAAAATCGAAAGCTATAGTTACCATGCCGGGAATTGAACCTGTCACTTCCATACGGTATGCGCCTCGCTATGGAAACAAGTGCACTAAGAACATTCTAGACAAAGCCTTAAGATCTACTGTGTTCATAAATTGTTGCTGTACTTGTTATTTGACATATGATTTGTTAATATAAATTTCTGTAACCTATGGTGCCATTTCAGTGGTTTGAAATTAATTCTGTCTGTATTCCATAGTTGTGGATTTCAAACTGTACGATAGACATGACCTTTTGGGGGTTGGGGGGAGGGGGGGGGGGTTCTAGACAACCATGTTCTTAGTGCACTTGTTTCCATAGCGAGGCACACATGCCGTCTGGCGGTGACAGGTTCAATTCCCAGCACGGTAACTATCACTTTCAATTTTTATGTTCTCTAGTGTGTTCTTCTATCTTTCTACTTCTTTCTATGAGTGCCGATCAATACATTTTCTGTTAATTTATTAATAGATATATGAAATGATCAGTCATTGACTCCAGAACATAACACTTATTTCTTGAAACCAGCATCAAAATAATTCACTTATTTTCCTGCCCATATTTACTTGTGTTTATATCAACACCAGCTGTCTGTATCAGTTGAGACAAAATCAAAGAAGGGAAACAAACGAACAGACGCAAATGTGAACAACATGGCAGCAGATAACTATTCTTGGCAAGACAAACAAGGTGATGAAACAAGTAACCAAACCATTGACAACATCACCAATCCTCAGTATGAAACTAAACTCCATAATGATGAAAAATCTGGAAAACCTGTCACAGGAATGGAAGAATTAAAGAGTGAAGCAGTGCAGAAGAATGTGCCAGTTAAGCACATTCAAGTTATAAAATCGCAAGGCAAGAATAATTTATATGCAAGAAAGCATACAAACATGGAAATGTGCAAAACGGATACCACCGATTTAATCCTGTGTCCTAAAGATAAAAATAATAATAAAGATGACAATGAAAATGAAGTACCTGGTGGTTCAAGAGTGACGTCAAACATTAGGTATGTACTTCCACAATTTTTGTTTTGTTTTTTAAACCTTGGATATTGCAATTGTCTCTGTGTGTCCTGATCCCCTTTTTTTCTTTTTTCAGCCATTTTTTCTTCTGATATCCAATGAACTAACTTATCCAAAATCTTCCTGCTCTTTGCCATCTTTTGCAGCTTATCTATCCATCCATACCTCCCTCCATTCATCCATCTGTCTGTCCATCTATCTGCCCATCCATCTCTCCATCCATCCATTTATCTGTCTCTTTGTCTATCTGTCTAAATGCTTCTGAGTTGAGTCAAGAATTGACATCACAGCACTCGGGGCATTCCCGTGCATGCTCCGTCCTCATCTTTAGCAGCCAGCACAAAGTTTCAGTACTGATGGTACCGATCACAATCTGGTTAAAAGTCCGTCTTGCCTTTCCTTTGAGTGTAGTCAGCCAACCAGACCCTCTGGTTACATCCAGGTGCTTCATTCTCTCCAGGCCATAATAATCTTATTATAATGAATCAAACAGGCACTCCAGTCAATGAAACCTGTGATGAAACTGCCGATCTTGTTAGAGCTGTATGTAGTTTTTCATTGCGGTTAGATTTTGTTTAATCGTACAAGCTTCTGAATGTTTACATACTCTTGCACACACACACACAAATCAGTTGTTGAGTAGAGTCAATTCTTTAACCCTACCAGACCTGAGCCCTGAACCTAACTGTCCCCTATACCTGAGCTCCTATGCTTTAACCCTACCAGACCTGAGCCCTGAACCTAACTGTCCCTATAACCTGAGCTCCTGGGCTTTAACCCTACCAGACCTGAGGCCCTGAACCTAACTGTCCCTATAACCTGAGCTACTAGGCATAAACACGAAAAAACCAACATAATGTACAAAAAAATTAGTTACATGCAAACAAGTGGTTAGAATAAGATAAAACTTGGAGACATTGTAGAAAATAGGTTTACCTTTAATCTAGCGCCAATCTTCCCCCTTTGTGTGCCAATCCACCAAGTAGGATCAGTCTTGTTTCACAAAGTAAGCACCAGATGTTGCTGTTTAAGGGACACACCCCCTTCTCTTACTATCGATCTAGTTTTAAATCTATAGTTTTCATAATTCTCCTCCTCACTCTAGCTCTCACTGACTGTCACTTCAACTGGGAACGTATACTTCATGAACGTATTCACAGTCTGATTTAACCAAAGTATCCATCACCTGTTGGACTGTGAAAAGCCTAGACATACGTCACTTTCTTGTCGAAGCCGTTCATTTCATTGACAATTTTCTGAATTTTTTTCACATCAGACCACACAAAGAAATCTCAACACACAAGGGAAGTCATTCACAATGACTAACAGCGAAGTCTGATGGCGACTGGCTGGTTATTTTTAGTCTGTAATGC